TATATGCCAAGCATCATGGTGTATACTGTATACGCATGGTCACATTTAATCCTTTAAGCAACCTCAGTTAGAGTTTATTTACCCAGCATTAGAGCTAATGGATGACAGAACTCGGGCTTGAATTTTGACCCCATAAATCCAACCAGTATTATGACCGGGTGTAAGAAAGATACTCGAACGGCAAGAGCAGATTGGCAGAGCAGAATCTGAGAGGAGCAAGTACTATGAAAATGACGAGGAATTGTAGCCTCAATTTGAAAATTCCATAGAGAAGGAACCAGGTCTAACTTAAAGTATTCAGCATATTGTGTTCATGGTTGATGCAGCTGATAAAACCAAGATGCAGGACTTGTTTGTGTTTCATATTTTTAATGGCAGAATGGCCCAGCTCTCTGAACCTTACCCCTTTTGCCATCTCATAATTCAAACCCTGAAGTGTCTGGGAATCATTTTATGCTCTGGATACCCCTGCTGTATTGGATGCTAGTGTATTTCAGGATTAAATTGTATCTCTCCTCCATTAAATCCTGTAAAACCCACAAATAAATGTTTGTAGAAAAATCGGAGGGGGGACTGTTTCTATACCATAGTACTTTGTATGCCTCAGTTTATTTCTTCTGTCAGCCCTCCATTCACTCAGTCTTTTCATCCATCAGACATATATTGCATGCTTACTCTTTGATAGGCTTGTTCTAAGTGCTAATGATACTGAGATTAAAGCCCAGCATCTCTGGGGCCTGGTGGTAATTGGAGAGCTGGCAGAGCCATGGAGAAACTTAAGAATCAGAAGCACCCTAAGTATTCTTTGGCTGAGAAGGAAGAGCAAAAGAGAGAAAAACAAAGGTATTAAGAGGAGACATAAAAGGATGACTTTAGACTCCAGAAAGAAAGATGTTATCCAGATGTTAAGAGGTAGAAAGAAAGAAACCTGCAAGAGGTCACAGTGAGTGAAGACAGTTTAGGCCCACTACGGAATGTGGGAAACTGCAAGTTAGGTGTTGAGCACAGGGAGCAGCTTGGAGGTATGGACCAACTTCCTGGTGGATGGCAAGAAGACAGCTGGGTACTGTGCTTGACCTAACTGTGCTGAGAATCATGAATTTGTAACAAGACCAGTTAACATGGTTGATTTGTTTTCTACCAGCACTTAAATGTTAAGATACCTGTTAAGCAGCTGGAGAAGCCTCTCTTCTGACCAATCCTCCAGCTCTTTGATTAGAGGGACAGTTGTCTATCAGAGCTAAAATCCTTGGCCCAGAACCTTCACTTTCTGTGCAATTCCTAGGTAACTTAAATCTAGAGGATACCAAAGGCACAGGCATGGGTTTAGCTGTGACCTGCTAGTGAGACTACGAAGCTACCTCTCCTCAGGGTGAGTCATCTCCCTTGAAAGAAAGGATGTCATAGTGTCCAGCCGTCTCAGAACATTTGCTCCGTTTTCAGTGGTTTAGGTTTCAGGCCAACAGGTTTTCCTTAAGCTTATGGCTGTTCTGTCAGGATTCTTGCTTACAAGTAAGAAAAATGAGCTGTAAGTTAAGCAGTGAAGGGTTAGACAAATAGATGTGGAGACTAGACAGCCAGCAGACGAGGCAGAAGAGGGTCCCCAAATCCTGCCACAGGGACAGTCGAAGAGTAAAAGCATGGCTGCCGCATGGATCAGAGGGCTGTTCTTGGCTTCTCTGACCAGCAGTGGTCACTGAAAGCTCCTGCAGTGACCTCTGCCTCTACTGTCTTTAGCATTCACTCTCTTATCCACTCCAGAATGGGTTCTCCCTGGCTTTGCTTCTTGGAGTTGCTGGCTTCCAATTCAGAATCTGGAGTGGGTGATGTCATTGGCAGGGTATAGCTCATTTGCTAATAGCACTAGAAAAAGGAGTGTGTGCAATTTTACGCACTATAAGGGATATGGGCTCTGTTGAAAGTTGAAATGTTGGTGGTCACGAAGAATGACAGATACCTGTTATAGTGCCATGAAACTAGGAACAAATCCTGCTGTATTGGGAGAAAGAAGTCTTAAGGCAGTAGACAGTGAGTTTCTCTGTAGTTCCTCTGTACCAGAAAATTTTAACCCATTTGTGCTGAAGATGGAAATTTTTTGAATTTTTGCATGAAATTCATATATGTTACCTAGAAAAATTCAAGGAACAAGAATTTGAAGAGAACACATTTCATTACGTTCCATTGTTATGGGCATTCTACAAATGGATCATTAGGCATTAAAGTCTTAAATTCTTCTTTGAGTCTTCAGTGCTTTACAGGTTGCCTGGAAAATAGTGGAACCTTAGGAAATATTTGTGGAATGCATGAATAAATACTTGTTGAATAGAGTAGTTCTCACCTTACCTGTACGTCCCTTGAAACTATAGATAGTACCAAACTGTATATATATTGTACTTTTTTTTCCTATACATGCACACAAATTTAATGCCTTTTCTCTCTCAAGTAAGTATGTCACACACTATGGCTAAAACTCTAGCAGTTTGAAGTGTAACAGCAAAACTAAAATGAATTTCTTTTTCCTTCACAATTTCACAGACAGAAGATTCATTACTCCAGATCTTAACTTCAGCGTATACTTTTTTTTTCTTCTGAAGCTGAGAACTTTCATCTTTTCACTTAAAAGCAGCACTTCGTGGTTTCTGTGACATATCTGAACTGCCAACATGACTAGTCTTGCACTTTGGGGCCATTAAGTAAAATAAGGGTTACCTGAACACAAGCACTATGATACTGCTGTGATTTATCGAATAACCAATGTGGCAACTAAGTGAGAAACCGGCAGGCAGTGTGTACAGTGTGGAGATGATTCACATCTTGGGAGGGATGGAGCAGTATGAGATTCCATCATACTGCTCAGACAGCACACAATATTTAAAACTCATTTTAAATAAGTTTATGTTCGTGGCTTTTCCATTTAGTATCTTTGGGCCTCCGTCAACAATAGGTAACAATGATGGTGGCAAGGAAAACCGTGGGTGGTAGTGGGGAGCTGCTGTGTGTATTCTCTCCAATGTGTTAGGCATATAATTTGTGTCTAGCACTATATTTACCACTAATGGCAGGATCAACGAGCTTTGACTTAATAGTAAAGAAAGAAGTGAGGAACAAGGGCTGGGCTGTCAAGTCAGAATCAAAGCATGAGAATTAGGGTCCAGAGTGAAGAAATGCTGCATAGGTAAGAAGTAGACTGACTCTGAGTCAAATTCCCTAATTTTGATTGGGATTGTGGCAGCCCAGGGGTGGAAAGGGCTGAATTAGAGAGATGGTGGTGGTGGAGGAAGTCGAGAGGGTATGGACCCTGCTGGGAGTAGAGTGGGAACCCTCTGCTGACTCGAGCATTTCTTGGCCTGTTGCTGGCTCGTATCTACAGAAGTTGTCCACTTGCTGGCTCTTCTCTAAGTTACTCTAGTGCAATGAATGTGCTATATTTGAAAAGTTCTTAGAACAGTGTCTTGACACATTGTAAGTATTGTATATCCATTTATTAAATAAATACAAATAAAGGAAAATATGTCAGGGATTCTGTTTGAATCAAATTGAGCCAAATACGAGGTGTATTCTTTCACCTTCTGACCTTTGTCCTTTCTCAGGTGGCATCACCTGTATCACATTCATCAGGTACGTCCATGTTCTTGGGACTGTCTGCAGCATCGCAACTCAGCCCCCTCTGCCCCTTCACAGTAGGCTTATCATGAATGGAACTCTCTGGGTACAGTAGCCTGGCATCTGGGTTCTCTGATTACTCTGATCTTGATCCAGCAATCTCTGTTTTGTGACTGCCGAAGTTATTTAAAAAAATACACACACACATACATATATACATACGTACGTACGTACATACGTTTTTTAGTTATCTTCAGTGAAAGGGTGGATCCAGTGTATCTCCCGTCATTATTGTAAGTGGAAATTCTAGTTCATGGGATTTATGCACTTTAAATCATATCTTCCTGAGAATCTATAAAGGAAACTAATGAGGTCTTCTTTGTTTAACAGATATAGAAAGTGGGGCACAGAGAGTGAGTTTAGGTTGTTTTTGTCATGGGTCATAAGAAATGGAACCAGAACTTGAACCTGGGCAGTCGACTTTCAGAGCTTGTGTTCTGAACCCGCTTTTTTTCTTTTCATAATGCAGGATGGCTGCTCTGTCATCAAAAGTGTTCTTTTAAAGTCATTCAAGTCTTCACCTTTAGGTACTTTCTTTACATCTTAGCATACTGGTTGGCAAACACTTCGCCATATAGAATTTAGATACAGTATGTTCTACGTCTTTTGAATTGCCCATATAACATGGGCAGATTTATTATCAATTCTCCCTATTTTTGTAGATAGGGATGTTTATAACTTCTTGAACATTTCAGTTCAAATCCTTTGCATTTTACCAAAATTATCTGTGTTGTTTTATTTAGTTAAGGTTTGCAGTGGTGAAATATATATATCGAGTAACTGAATCATTTAAATGTCTAATATGGAAATAAAAATTTTTAAATCTAGAATCTTTAACTCTGGAAAGTGATATCAGTAATTGAGACTCAAATACTTCCACTTATAGCTGGGGCACTCAGGAGACTGAGGCAGGAGGATCACTGCAAGTTCGAGGCCAGCCTACATAGTGAGTTCAAAACTAGCCTGGACTATATATTGCAACCCTGTAAAAGAAAATTTTTTTTCCGTTTATGTACTCTTAGGAGTCAAAGTCCTTCGGATTGTGCCCAAATAAGAGGCTTTTATTGACCTTAAATGGCCCCCCATCCCATCAGGACAACTAATGGCCCACCAGAGTGCTTGGGGGATCCAGCTTAAGTCCGCAGCATTCTGTTGGAGACCCAGCACTCACAAGTTGCCATCAGCAGGAGTAGTGTCACCGCTTCTGTGCCGTTTTAAGCAGATATGTCTCTTCATCAGATCCAAACCAGTTTATTTTCTTCCTTTAAAACAAAAGGCTTTATTTCTGCCCCTGAGAAAACTAAAGGTCTTACGTCCATTCCAATTTCTTTTGACAGAGAAAAAGACAAGCATATGAATCTAACCTCATCTGCAAAGGCCTGGAGCTAGAAGCAACAAGATCAGTAAGTGTTAGTGCCTTCATAACCCATGGCTAACTTGTTCTTAGAGATCTGAAGCTGCTTGGAGTTTGTGGACAGCCCTGAAAATGTGCAGCCTGGCGATGTGTAGTCACATACTGGCTGGGAGTCCCGCCAAATCTGCCTTCTATGAATTGTATCATCGTTTTCCCAGTAGCCCAAGAATTTAATAATAAATGCATATATGAATGATTATTGTCTTCCTTTAAAAACCTTTTAAAGGTTTTCTTAACGTACAAATGACATAAAATAATAAAAATTAGAAAATGTAAGAATAGGGAAAATAAAAATTGTGTGAATCTTAACTGTCCAGAAATTACCTTGTAGTCTTTCTGAACTTTTATTTCCTCAAAGAAATACGTATTTTTTTTACCTTTCAAAAAGAGGATTATTATTTCACAGTTTATAATTTGCTTTTTCCCTTTAACATATAGTAAATTATTGATAAGTGTGGGTCATTGACATTTCAGTGGCCACATAACATAATGAATATTATACAACAAATTAAACAGTCCATTTCAAGGTTTAGAAAATAAACATATTTTCTGTAGTATAGCATTGCAATGAATGTTGTAGCATTTTAAAGTCACTAACAAGTTCAGTTTTCTGATTTAAAATACTAGTTTTATAAAAATTATAACAATTTTAATTAATTTATTGATAATTAAAACTAAGAGATTATCAAATTTGTGATAATTGCAGGTCTGTTTTGTTCAGTACTGAGGATTGGACCCAGGGCCTTTGCACTGAGCTACAACCCCAGCCCTTTTTATTTTTACTTGGAGATCGGGTTTTGCTAAGTTACAAGTCTGGGCTTCAACTTACAATCCCCTTACCTAACCATCCCAGAGCACTACAGATTTATTTTTATTATAGCTTCACTTTTTGATGTTCTCTGTAAATGTGGATTTCTTTCTTTCTTTTCTTTTCCTTTTTTTAAAACATAAATATCAGCTCATGAGACTCTGTATGTCTCAAAATTGTGAAAATAGGTGGTTTGGTTTCCTGATACGTGTTTTTTATCCTTCCAATATAGGTTTTGGATGACAATCTTGTATTTGTAAAAGTACATGCGCCGTGGGAAGTGTTATGTACATATGCTGAGCTAATGCACATCAAATTGCCTCTGAAACCCAATGATCTGAAAACCCGGTCCTCAGCCTTCCACCACCTCAACTGGTTCACTAAAGTCCTCAGTGTGGATGAAAATATGATCAAGCCAGAGCAAGAGTTTTTCACTGCACCTTTTGAAAAGAACCGCATGAATGATTTTTACATTGTTGATAGAGATTCGTTCTTCAATCCAGCCACCAGAAGCCGCATTGTAAGTCTAAGCTAAATGTAGTTTCTGTCTTGGGGTGATTTGGAGCTTGCTGTTGAATTATTAGTGGTTTGGTTTGGTTGGTGTGTATTTTGGTTTTTTTTTTAAGAAATATAGATAAATTTATTTTTAACGTAATTACAAAAATATTCTTTAAGGAATAAAACATGTTCACTATGAAAGACAAGATATAAATTTTGATGTATTAAGAACTTTAGTTCATGAAGAGATCACTTAAAATAAAAAAATCTGTCACAGCTTAGAAGATTTTCCAGTCTAAGAAACTGACAAAGGATTGGTGTCAACAGCATGAAAATAATCTTATAAATCAGTAAGAAAAATGAGCAGAAGTCATTAATAGACATTTCACAGAAGAGGAGACTGAGATGACTAACAAATAGATGTTCAGTATATTACATCACATTCACTAGTGCTTATGGAAATGCAAATAAAGACAATAATACAATATGATTTTATAGTCTTCATTTGACAAACAATTTAAAAGCTGCAGAATAGTAATTGTTAGAGTGGATACAAATTCAATGCATGTTCTTGCTGGTCAGAGTGCAAATTGTTCAATAATTTTGGAAAAACATTAAATATTTTGGAAAAAACTGACTATTCATATACCCTAAAACTTAGAAAGTCTGCTCTTAATTATTCAATCAATTTCATTTACATATGCAACAGAAACATGTGTAAAGATGTTCATATCAGTGCTGTTTAAGAAATAACCTGGAAAATAATCATATTGACATCATTTAGGCAAGTGGATTAATAAACTGGTATATTTACAATAAAATATGATACAGTAGCCAAATGAATGAAGTCCAGTGTTTACAAGTGTGGATGAATCTTAGCAATACAATACTGATAAATACTAAAATTATATTATTTGTCAGTATATTTTTAGATTATATATCAATAGCATTGATTTAAAAGCTCATTCCCAGATTATGTATCTGTCACATAAAAAAAGAAACACTGGGGGCTGGGATTTAGCTCAGTGGTTCCGCCACCTGCCTTGCAAGTGCAGAGTTCTGAGTTCAATCCCCAGTACGAAAACAAAAAAAACAACAAAAATAGAAACACTGGAATCGTTGTACACATTTTAATTATGTTTTATCTGTTTTCCAATTAAAAGAACTAAAACAGTATCTAAAACCAGCTTTCATATAAAGTATTTGAAACTCATACTTGTTTTTTTGAGACAGGGTCTTGCTATGTAGTTCAGGCTGGCCTTGGCCTCACTATGTAGCCCAGGCTGGCCCCCAACGCACAGGACTCCTCCTGCCTCAGCCTCCTGAATACTGGGATCGTAGGCGTGCACGACCATACCTAGTGGTTTTGGTTTTAAAAGCTGAAAAAAAATTTAAAATGCCTACAGATTCCCATTACAGTGTACACAGTGATTAGATTGCTTGGTTCTACTATATAAATCACTCTCTATTTTGGAATCTTTTAGGTTTACTTCATCCTCTCTCGGGTCACGTATCAAGTGATAAACAACGTTAGCAAGTTTGGGATTAACAGACTTGTAAGTTCTGGAATCTACAAGGCAGCATTCCCTCTCCATGATGTAAGTCAAATGGCAGAAATGGCCTAAGCGTACTGTGGTGTTGACAGTAGGGAAGGGCTGACCTTCCTGACCTTATGCTTCTTCCTCAGTAAAATGAAGAGAATAGTGTACTGCAAGGTCACAAGCTCCTGAAGGGCCGAAAGGAACCTGACCATTTTTTTCACCAGTGGGGCTCCGGCAGAAAAGATGCTGTGATGAAAGGAGCAGAGGAAGGAATAAACAATTTTTCTCCTGCAGTTAATGGCTGCAGCAGTATCATTTAGCAGCTTCACTATATTAGCATTTCTGGGGCAAAAACTTCTGCTCTGCCATTTTCTAGTTAGATGACCTTGTAAAAGTCATTTACCTGTTCTGTTTCTGTTTCTTTGTCCATAAAGTCAGGGTAATAATAGTACTTACCTCATAGAGCTGTTATTAGGACCAATCAGTGTCAAATGTTAGTTCCTGGCATATATTTAAGTGTTAGCTATTTTCACAATTACTAGCAAATGCTATTATTAAACAGAAAGATATGAGTCCTTTGTAAGGAAAATACTTGTTAGAAATTCTAATTTATCCTTTTCTATACCCTGAAGTACTCTTTTGAAACTTTCCCTGGACTATGCCAGGGCTTTTATAAAGGCACCTGTCAGGGTTCTTGTCACAATAGCAAACCCAAGATAGTTGACATTTTTGAAAGACTGTGTTTGGAGACCATAGCAGCCCTTCAAATTCAAGAGCGTATCTGTAACTGACCGCTTCTTATATGGAATCAGATTTTAACATGTGACCACCCAGACCCTTAGTGATTCCATAAATGCAAGGACAGCTGTTTAAATAAATTTGGTCAATGAAATAAATTAAGTACTGTATTATATGGGATTGTTACTCTGTCACATATATTATTGATTTATTTGAATCTGTAAAGAAAAGACCTGAGATTGCTCATTCCTACTGTGTGCTGCATCCACTGGTGGATGAAGACAGGATTGAGAGATATGAGATAGAAACACTTGGACACTAAGCACCTATTTGGTACATATGGATAAGAGAAGCCGAAAAGAAGGAGCTGAGCTTCCTGAGAGATTTCTTGTGGCTGTCCAGCCCAGTAGCCTATGTGCTTTATTTTTTTGTGCCACCAAAATTAGCACCTATGGCATAACATAAACTTTGGGGACATTTGCAAATAGTTGTCCTGAATATTAATCTAGGAAGCCAAAGTTCGATAGTATTCGGTGGCATTTGCCCCCACCCAGGTCTTTTCCAGGAAAGCCTGTATGTATAGTGGTCCCATAGCCAGGCCTAGGGATGAGCCTGAATGGTATTTAGGAAAGGCGGTTGAAGTCTGGCCTCAAGCCAAGGCTTGACTGGGTGGTAATCTGGTTCTACTTCATAAAGAAGGAGAATGAGTCAGACAAGAAAAAGACCAAGTCAGTTTAAGCAGAGGCAGGAGGTTTTGTTTCTTGAGTAGACTGAATGTGTAACATGATAATCTATTTTCTTTGCTGCTTATTTTCTGTATGTTGTCACAGAATAACTGCTGAACTGGGGGACAAAGAAATGTGGGTTTAGAATTGTCCTGCTGCTAAATGGCCAAAGGCCCTGGTTCCCCCATTGTTCTAGGAGCGGATTGGCCCTCAGGTATTCCTCAGAGATTCACTGTAGAGATTTGCTCTTGGGTGGCCCAATTTTTCATTGTTTATGACTGCCCCACTTGGGGAATATTAGTATTCCTGGGGCTCTCCCTGAGTTTCTATATTATACCCCAGGATTATAACATCCAGGCATTGATCTCTACCCACATTTTCAAATGGTCCTCACTAAACATTAGGTTGTATTTACATTGCTTCCAGCAAGTGAGGGTTCCTTTTTCACAAATGTGACTCTGAAGTATTAGGGTCATATTTTGTAAATAGAGAAAATGTGATTATGATGCTCATTGGTTGCCCTCTGCTTCTCAGTGCAAATTTGGCCAACCATCAGAAGATCCCAGCTGCCCTAATGAACGATTCCTTCTGTATCGGGAGTGGGCTCATCCTCGGAGCATATACAAGAAGCAGCCCTTGGATCTTATCAGGTGAGTAGTTGGAGAGAGTGCCCTTCTGGTATCTAAGTAAGACAGCATTCAGAGAACATTGCCAACCCAGAAAGCTGATGCCACGTTCTGAGCTGGGCTTTTATCGAGTTTTGTCCTGGGTTTCTTTTGAGGCTTCCTTGTGTAGGCAAGACTGAATCATCACCCATGGGGCTCCATCCCTACTCCCTGCAGGTCCATCCAGTATCAATCACATGGCTTACAATCCGGATACTCCAATCATGTGATTTGTCTGTCATGGCCAGTCCCATCCTGAGTCATCTCAGTAGCACAATCTAGGGCCCACTAGATTCACCTCATGGGTATAAGCTCTCAACTGTAGTTCAGTGGCCCCGCTGTGAATGAAAAGATTCTAAGGTTTTAGAGGTTCCTTTCACCAGTTGGGAAGAAAGACCTGCTAAATTGTTTATTGTAGAGGAGTAAATATTAGATTTAGCTTATAGTGCATAATAAGACCTATAAATTTTCACTCCTTTTCTGAATTTGCTGTTAAAAACTGTCATTGTATATCACAAGAAATGATGAGTAGCTCAGGACTTGTCTTTGCAATGCCCCAATGCTGAGTGCTCTCCAAAAGCTTATGTTGTTTGGCCAGGGTGGAGGATCCTTGCTGGTAGAGAGAGGCTAAAGAAATGCACATGAGCAGGTAACAGATTAAAAACAGAAAACTCTTTAATTGGAATACAGTAACAGAATGATGAGATGGGGCAAGAACAATTGTCTTTGAGTAGTTGATATTTGAGCTGAGACTTGGGTAGTGAAAAGAATGGAGTATTTTGAGGATTTGGAAGAAGTCATTCTAGAAATAGAGGTAGCTTATACAATGTTCCTGAAACACAAATACATTTAACAAGATCAAGGAAACATGAAGACCAGTGCCAATGAGGAAGAGAATGATGAGACACAAAGTTAGAGGGGTAGCTGGAGCTCGGAAAGGAGGTTAGACTTCCTGTGTAGTGAGAAGCAACTGTGATATTTTAAATAATTGTCTCATTCACATTTCGCAAAGATGAAGAGCATGGCTTATAGGGGGCATAAGACACAGGGAGACCAAGTAGAGTCTATTAGTGTGAGCCAGGTGAGAAATGGTGCGACGAGATTCGGGATGTATTTTGGGGAGTACAGCTGACGGGATTGGTTAGGGACTGCATGTGGATAGTGAGGAGGAGAGGAGAATTGGATTAGCCCCAAGTCTGTCCAGAGACAAGTGCCTGTTCTTTCTTCAGACTTCTCAGTGCCTCATGCAGGTGCCCTGGTTGGGACAATGCTTTACCTTTATAGTGAGAGTTTTGAAAACACTTGAATAGTTCATTTTACATTTTATTATGGAAAATGTACAAAAGTAGAATAGCATGGCAGGCCTGAGCAGATGTATCATCCTGCTCCAGAAAGTTCTCAACTCACAGCCCTTCTTGTTTCATCTTTACCTCTACCTCTTTTCCTTTCTCCTCCACTGGATCATCTTGAAGCAAATCCCAAATATCATATCATTTCATTAACATCTATTTCTAAATATTTTAGGGTTTCGTTTTTTGAGACAGGGTCTCGCTGTGTAGTTCAGGCTGACCTTCCCAGACTAGCTTCAAATTTGGGTGATCCTCTTGCTTCTACCTCCTGAGTGCTGGGATTACAGGTGTGCACCACCATACCCAGCTGTAAATACTTTAAGCACAGCCAGAATACCCTTTAAAACAAAAGCCATAACTCCCTAAATTCATCGACTAATCAGTGTTCAGATTCCCTTAATTGTCTAAAAAATTCTTAGTGTTTTAGTTCAAATCAAATGTTGCAGCTATATAAAATATCTCAGATTTTCTCGGTTTTTGTTCTTTGTTTCTTGTTTTCCATCCAGTTTTTACAGGAATTCCTTGCATCTGGTTTTATTTCCTGCATTGCACTTTTATTCTCCCCATAGCATTGCTGATATTGCTGAGCTTGTTCCTCTGTCCTGTGCATTTGCCTGACTTAAGGGATGTGATCCTCATCTAGGAGATTTATCTACTTCATGTGACACACTTGATACATGGAGTTAGATGCTTTTATCAGAAGGATCATAAGGTCTAATTATCTCTGTTTTTCTGTGATGCTAGTAGCCCTTAATAATTCTTGCCTTATTATTTCGTAGGGATTTCATTTCATAATTTCATTTGATCAGACTCTAATTCCCTCCTCCCTCATTTATTAGCTGGATTAAAGTCCTGAAGAGGTGCTTTTATTAACCCCGTTTACCCTATACAGTAAGATTGTAAATGAAGATGTTTGTATGTGTTTAAATATAGTCAGTCACCTCTGGTACTGTGGTACTTAGTGTTCATCAACAAATTCAACCCCAGACTCTCCCCCTGTGGTATAATTTCCTCAGTATGTTCATATTCAACTCCTTGAATAAATCCCACCACACATCTTTCAACCTGGATTTTTTTACGGGAGTTTTTCTATCACATTTTTAATTTCCACGAGCTTCATTTTATTCTCACAATGATGCTTACATAGAATCCAGAACCTCTGAGGATAAGGAAATCCACATATGTTCAAGTCCCTGTATAAAATGGTATAATTTTTACATATAAGCTGTGTGCATATTCCCATATACTTTACGTCATCTCTAGATTATTTACAATACCTAATACAATACAAATGCTCTGTAAATAGTGGTGGTACTCTGTTGTTTAGGGAATAATGACAAGAAAAAAGTCTGCATAGTCATTATGAAGAGATTGTTGCTCTCTTAGTATTTTCAGTCAGTAGTTAGTTGAATTCATGAATGTGGAACCCTTGCATGTGGAGGGCTGACTATATTTGAGGTTGACATTGGTATGAAGTTTTCATTTTATTAATCTCCTTATTATTAAATCTGTATCATCTTTTGGCAGGATGGTAAGTCTTAATCAGTAGAAGAGAAACAATTTTCCTACTATATTAAGTACATTTTGCTAAGGAGAGCATATTTAACTATTCTGCGTCCCTGGTCCACATGTGCTTCCCGCATTGCTTCACTAGTAACCCCTTGAGCAGGGAAACAGATTCTTCCCAAAAAGCAATCCAAACAAATTGGAAAGAGCAATTTATAGGAAAAAGACTTTGCACAGGAAAAGAAAGAAAATTTCCCCTGAAAACTCCCATTTTCACCAATAGAGAAAAGAAGATGTGTCCACAAGACAAGGGTAGGATTCTCCGTAAGCATCATTGTGAGAATAAAATGTAGCTCGTGGAAATTAAAAATGTGATAGAAAAACTCCCGTAAAAAAATCCAAGTTGAAAGATGTGTGGTGGGATTTATTCGAGGAGTTGAATATGAACATACTGAGGAAATTATACTATGGGGGGAGAGTCTGGGGTTGAATTTGTTGATAAACACTAAGAAATGAACCATCAAGACAATTAACTTGAGGAAAAGCAAAATATTTGAAAGGAAGGAAAAGGTAATTATAGCAGATGACTTGATTCAGCTGTGAATAGAATCATACTAACATAAAACAAGAGTATTGATCTAACCCTAAATTATAATTTAACTGTGCTGAAAGAATGGAAGCAGACATGTGACTGGCTGGTGAGGCAGGAGGTTGAAAGAGAGCTTAATTCTCATCTTCCAGACTGGAAGGTCAGTGATGAGATGCAAAACTGAGAAATCAATAGGTAGCGCTTCATATTAGCAAAATGGAAGTGATACTCAGAGAATCAGCTCTGAGAGTTGCAAGTAGGTGTGTCTGGACAGCAGGAGATAGGGAAGATGGTTGAGGACGGCTCCTTTTAATAATCAGGCTGTTTAATAATCAGCCTGTTTAGAGTTTTTGACACTGAGCATGTACCTACAAGTTTGGTAAATGAAAGCTGATTTTGTAAGATTGATGTGAAGAGCTGGATGTTTTTTCAGAGACGGTGATCAGCAAATATCCATTTGAAGGGATCCTCATTCTTCCCAGCTTCTGAGTACTAGGAGACAGGAATAAGATTTGGAAAACATATCCAAGCTTGGCTACAATGTAACAGGAATGGCTTAGGACGTAATGACCGCTCTGTCACTCTGAATATCCAAGTAGAGATTATGTGACCAGCTTTCTAAATATGACAAGATATTTTTACTATTGGGAGGTTGGACCAAGCAACTTCTAAGATTATTTTTAATTTTAAATGTGACATGTCCAGGATAGATGGCTTATGAGAACTGTGTAAGTCTCTTTGCACTACTATAATGGAATCCCTGAAGCTAGGTATTTTCTAAGGCTTATTTAGGTCACCGTTTTGGAGGCTGAAAGTCCAAACAGCATAGAACCAGGTCTTAGGAGGGCCCCCTGGCTGCATCATGACATGGCAGGAGGCCATTTGAGAGGGAGAGGTCACATGACAGGAGGCCAGAGAGAGGGAAGGGCCGGTCTTACTCTTTTCTTAGCTCTTGTGAGAACTAACTCATGAGAACTACTTAATTCATTCTGAGGACAGTGCCTTCCGTGACCCCCCCACTGGGTTCCTAAAGGTCACACCACGTCTTAACACTTCCACACTGATGACCAAGCCTCTAACATAGGCAGCCTTAGGTGGCACACTTAACCCAATATCTAAATTTGAGCAATAATAATACATCACAAAAAGCATAACAGAAGATGTGATGAGACATCTCACACCCATAGCCAGGCTTTTCTTTCCCAGGTATGGTTCTGAGCCTGCCATTTGTTTGCCTTCTCTAAGCCAAACCACAAAACTCAGTCCTAGGTAAATGAACTTTGTTCGTCCTGTCCTCTAACATCACATCGGTCCCACCCTGCCTTTTCCTCATGGATGTTGCCTTCAGCTCAGTGCTACAGTCTTTCACAGAATATTACTATTTTGATGTACTTGAATCTTTGCCATGTTAAAATGGAGTAAATTGTTACAGTATTATTTTCCTTTTAGCCCATAATGCCACCCCAAAAATGTGCTGCCTGGGTCAGGACCCCGCCCCCAGCTACACCACTGCTTCAGCCAAGCCTGTAGCCTGTGGCACTGGTCTGGCCCAGGACTCCAGGTTCTCAGAGCTAAGTCTTCACTAGGTAAAGCCTAGCTTTGTAGCCCTGCTCTGTACAGAGCCCAGAGTCTCACACGGGCCTCAGAGCCAAGGAAATCTACAGGTTCCACAGACCAAAACCAAGATGCAGAAGCAAATCAATCTAGGAAGACTGTGGCAAGTCACCGAAACAATCACTTTATTGTTTTCTCCTCATCCCTAAACCTTTCTTTCTGCTGATGCATTTGACCTCCCTTTTGGGAACAATTTTGCCACCGCTTCTTGCTCCCCTTGCCCTTTTCTAATCTCACCTACCTCGTCTCTTCCATTTTACCCAGAGTACACCATTAATCACTTTTTAAGGCCTAGAGAAAAACAGAAGTGCTAGATAATAGCAAATACATGGTGGTTATAGCCATCCTCCCTTCTCCCATTCTCACGTAAGTTTTATAGAATTTTGGTCAGAGAGACATTCTGCTACAGCTTAGCACAGTGGACCTCCTTATCCACATTCATTTTTGACCATTTCAGTTGCCTGTGTCCCAGGAGGAAGGATGACTATGGTACAAGATACTTTGAGAGAGAGACCACATTCACATAACACTTATTACAGCAGAGTATTATAATTGTTGTGTCTTATTATTCATTATCTTATTGTGTATATTTATAAATCAGACTCTTTCACTGGTGTGTATATTTAATGTATATGGAAAAAGCGTAGCATATTTAGGATTCAGTACTCTCCAGGGTTTCAAGCATCTACTGGGGGTGATCGTGGAATGTACACCGCACAGTTCGGGGGGACAATGGTATTCTCATCAGTCATTTTCTTGCTATTGTTTGTGGTTTATATTTCCTCCAAAAGAAGTTCCTAAGTATGTAAGGGCAGGTAACTGAGCAGATTATCCATTTGTTTTGTGCATATTAAAAATCATCTTGGACAGTGTGTAAAACAGTGCTAGCATTTACAAAGAGTGATAATGATACTGTATTTGCCCCATATTCAGCATTTTTCCCTGTCTTGTTCTCTTCTAAATTCACTTTGCTTCAACCACCAAATCAGTGATAATGATCAGTACTTGTGAATATGTAATAAACCTTTTGTTTCACAGACTCCAGGGTCTGCTTTGAAGATGGATATGCCTTAAGGGTGAATTGAGTCAGAAGTTTATGTGAAGCCTCCTTTATTTAAAATAAAAAATTAATATTAGGGTGAAGGTGTTGAGTGACTCTTTGTGTCTTCTAAAAATAATTTGTCTTTCTTCAGGAAATATTATGGAGAGAAGATTGGAATCTATTTTGCTTGGCTGGGCTATTACACTCAGATGCTCCTCTTGGCAGCAGTCGTGGGGATGGCCTGCTTTCTCTACGGATATCTTAATCAGGATAATTGTACATGGAGGTAACCTTGATTTATTCCTCATTGCCACACTGAAAAGATGATTAGACATAAAATAATTTTCAGGGCTTTAGACTGTTTTGGTTAAAAAAACACTCGTTGCCTTGGATGATATATCCTTTGTTCTGGGCATAATAACCAGTGGAAAAAAACTTCTTCTCAGATAATCCAACCCGGCCTCTGACAGGAATATTATCCTTAGGAAACACTCCAATATTTTAAGACAATACTTTGTTTGAAAAAGAAAGGCAGCCTGGCTGGAGGATTGCCCTTGAACTTCTGGCCCCAGAGGAATGCTTCAGTCAGCCCTGCAGATGTGGGCCAAAGAGCAGCTTAGATTTCTTCAGGGTTTCAGTGGGAAAAGTGGTGAAGCTGGTGTTTTTCAGTTTTTAGCAAAGACTTCTCAATCTTTATTAAGAATTGTGTGTTTAAAAACTCAAATAACCAGTCATTGTTTTGTTTTTTCTTTTACAATATAATTCCTTACAGTGTCAGAGGAAAAATAAATGACAGATAGTTCTTGTCTTTGATGCTAGAATTCAGACACCAACTGCACTGTCTAAAGGGAAGTCCCCGCTTGCCGGCACACTCCGATTTCACCATCACTGTTCACAACTGCATTATCATTGCCCTGCTTTTGGTGGTCTCCACCTCCAGAAGGGATCCAGCACAGAACCAGACATTTTTCTCTTGATCATCTGGCCTTTCCTGATGTGACAGCCAGATAAAAATTTCTGGGGACCAGTATTGAGTTGATGACCAAAATTTTCAACCCCCAAGCATATCATTCTGCTTCTGAGGCAGAATACTTTCATGGCAGCCCTGACACACAGGTGTAATTCCCCATCCCATTTAGCAGAGAATTCTGAACCTCTTGTGTCCATTATGGCTTCTTGGCTACTAAGCTGCACATGGATTTTGAAGTATTTTACCTTCTTCACTGAAAAAGCATTTGGAGCCAGCAGCTTAATGTTGATACCTTTTCCCTGAATTTCTCTTGGGCATCTTCATTGTTTTCTGTATCTTCCCAGCTTAAAAAAATAACAACAAAAGCACCTCAAAAATACATCTTCCGAGTGGAAAAGTTGGAATTTTGTAAGGTTCTCTCTCAAGTGGTTGTTCTTATTATAACTTATTTTATAAAATCACCATGATGACCACATCACATATTTCCTGCCACTTCACACAGACTCTGGGGTCAAAACTGTTTGGCTTTAATTATTAAATATCTTTAAAATGTTTAGAAGACATGAATTTTAAATATTTTTAGTTCTGTTATGTGCTTAGTACATTCACAAGCATAGAAAATATATTTAAAATGTGAGGAATAGCGATCCATCATCCAGTTTAAGAAAAAGAAGTCAGGTGTGGTGGCACATGCTTATCCCAGCATGGGATCTGGGAGGCTGAAACAGGAGTACTGCATGTTCAAGCTCTGGGCTCAATCCCCAGTATAGACAGAGACAGAGAGAGAGGAAAAACATTATCGCTGCCTGTAAGTTTCTTGTTCAATTTTATCCCTTTCCTTTCTATTTTGGAAAAAACTATTGTACTAAATTTTGTATTTAGAATTCCTTTGTATTTACCTTAAAAATATTTAATTTTGCATGGCTTTGAAAATACGTATATACATGTATAAGTGGAGGATACTACAGGTATTTCCTCCTTTAAAAAAATGCCTAAAGTCTATATCCTGTTTTTTTGAAAAAGGTGTAATTCAGTAGTATACATGCACCCATTTAAACTGTAAGATTCAGTACACTTTAAGTATACTCACAGACTTTTGTAGCCATCATCACCACCTAATTTTAGAACATTTCATCTCCCCTAAAAGAAAGCAGAGCCCATTAGCAGTCTTCTAACCCCCCTTTCCCTTAGCCCTTGGCAACCACTAATGTGCATTGCATTTCTGTGGATTTGTCTATTCTGGGCATTTCACAAAAGTGGAACTGTAACAGTGTGTGGTCTTTTGTGACTTCTACTTAGCTTATTTTCAAGGTTTATCCATGTTGTAGCATTTATCAGTAGTTCATGCCTTTTATAGCCAAATAATATTCCACTATATGGATATACCATGTTCTTTATCCATTCATCGTTTGATGGACATTAGGGTTACTAACACGCTTTGGCTATTATGAATAATTCAATTGTGACTGTTCATTTGACAGTTTTTGGGGGGGAGGTATGGTTTCAAATCTCTTGAGAATATAGCAGAAAATAGAATTGCTGGGGTACATGATGTCCCTATGTTTAACACTTTGAGGAACTGCCCAAATATTTTCCCAAGTGGCTGCACCATTTTACATTCTTGTCAGCAGTGCATGAGGATTCCAGTTTCTCCACACTCTAGCCAGCACTTATTTATGGTTTTTCTTTTTTAATATTAATTTTCCTAGGGCTGCTGATTTAGTGCAGCAGCACAGTGCCTGACTGGCAAGTGCGAGGTCCTGAGTTCGATCCTTGGTACTAGAAAACAAAACTGTTAATCATCCTAGATAGTATGAAGTGTGTCATTGCTAGTTTTTATTTTTCTCATGCCAATGATGTTGAATGTCTTTCCATATACTGTCATTAGCATAGCTTCCTTGAAAAACATCTGTTCAAATCCTTTCCCTACTTTAATTATGTCATCTTGTTATTGTTGAGTTGCGATCCTTCTGTATATATTTGGGATAGAAGTCTCTCATTGGATATTGTCTTAGTCTGCTTGCAGTGCTATAGCAAAATGGCATAGACTGGGACAGAAATTTATTTCTCATAGTTCCTGAGGCCGGAAGTTGAAGATGAAGGTACCAGTCATTGGTGTTTGGTGTGGGCTGCATCCTCTGGAAGGAATCTTGTGTCCTCACAGGGCAGACGGGGAGAGGGCCAAGCTGCCTCGGTCAGCTCCTCCACAGTTGTGATCTTAAGGCAGGAGCACTCACAGGACCCACCTCTAAATACTGTCACACTGGTAACACTGGAAGTTCCGAGGAAACACATTCAAACTGTAGCAGTTGTACTAAAAATGTTCTTTCCCACTTTGTGAGTGTTTTTTCACTTTCTTAGTGGTATCCTTTGATGCACAGTAAATTTTCATTTTTGTGACATCCAGTTTACCTTTTTTTTCCTTTGGCTATTTGTGCTTTTAGTATCATATCTAGAAATTAGTAATCCAGAATCAGGAAGATTTTCAGTGTTTGTCTTCTAAGAGTCTGATAGTTTTCGATCTGTGATTCATTTTGAGTTAATTTTTGTAAGTAGTATGAGGTAGGGGCCCAACTCTACTGTTTTCGTGTACATATTCAGGTGTCCCAGCATTTTTGAAAAATTTCTTTCCCCAGTGAATTGCTGTGGCACCCTTGTTGAAAATCAGTTGCCCTTGGGCCGAGGATTTAGCTCAGTGGTTCCGGCACCTGCCTCACAAACGCAAGGTCCAGTACCAAAAAAAGAAAAAAAGAAAAAAAAGAAAATCAGTTGCCCTAAGTATGAGAGTTTTTATATTCTCGATTCCTTTCCAGCTATCAATAGTCAGTCCTTTGTGCAAGTGCCACACTATATTGATTACTGTGTAGTAAGCTTTGAAAGTAGAAACTTCCAAGTCTCATCTTCTTTTAAAGATGGTTTTAGCTGTTCTGCATTTTCACAGTCTTTATTGACTGCTTAGTTCTCTCTGGTTTAAGGCCATACTTTTCTGTTTCTTATAGTTTTTATGTTGAGAACTTAGCATATTTAATATGATAAGATAGCCAATATGGACATCAGATTTTCCCTCTCCTTGGGGTTTGTTGTTAGTTTTATTTTCTGTTATCTCTGCTGCTGTTCTTTGTTTGGTTGCTTCCCTGGACTAATTCTGTGAAGTCTGTATTCTTTGTCATGTGTGGCTACTGAAGTCTGTGTTCTATAAGTTTAGTTTGCTGGCACCAGCAAGGTCATTTTCTCTGCCTGTGTGTGTCAGGGTGGGTTGAACACTCAAGACTGTCCTGCAGTCCCTCAGCCTTGCTCCATCATGCTTGGGCACAACCTCAAGGCTAGCCAGAGGTGCTGGGTTACAGTTTTCTTAGGTCTTTCCTGACCTTGTGCACTGCCCTGCACATGCACAGGGCCTTCTACAAACCCAGACATGCATTGGAGCCTTTTAAAGCCTTTGTGGATACCTTAGTTCCTAATTTGTCTTTTGAAGTTCTTTGGTTACCTTCTTGTTAACCTGTCCTGGTATCATGGCCTCAGGCAGTTGCATTGTTAAGTAATTTCTGCTGCTGTCTTTCACCGGGTGCTTTGGGGATTGGGCTGTTTGCACAGTTTGAACGCTCAGTATGAAGTTAAAGAATGACAAATTCTGAGCGTTGAGCTTTTCCATGGCTGTACTAAAAAAGTCAAATATTGACAGTTCCCTAGGGATGAGATTTTGGGACAGGTCCAGTCTACTTCTGCCCCATTCAGTGGCTGCCAGGTCGCTGTTCTTCACCGCTGCTGTGATTGTCAGTCTGTTGGTTTTTAAGGCTGACATGAAGCTAGGGAGATAGGGCTGGTCACTGGTCAAGTTAAAATTCCCCAGAGCTCACTTGGGGCGGGGGCCCAGTATTGGGCACTGAACCCAAGGCCTTTCCACTGAGCTACATTACTACTCCTTTTTTTTATTTTCTGACAGTTGCATAGCCTGTAGTCTCACTAAGTTACATAGCCTGTAGTCAAACTTGGGATCCTTCTCCCTCAGCTTCCAGTGGTGCTGGAATTACCATTGAGCCAGATTTAGCTCACTATTCTTATAAAGATTTAACTAGTTTCCCTCAAATAAGTGTGCTCTAGATCACTGCAGTGCTTGGTTTATTTCCAGAGTTCTACAAAGTCTGATTTTGACAGTTTTAAACATTCTGATGCATAATTGTTTGTCCATTTGTTTGTTTGTTTGAGAGAGGGTCTTATTATGTAGTTCAAGCTGGCCTTGAACTCACTGTGTAGCCAGGTTGGCCTTGAACTTGTGTTGATCCTCCTGCCTCAGCCTCCTGAGTGCTGGGATTACAGGCGTGCACCACCACACTTGACTATCTGGTGCATAATTCTTTACCATTATTTTTGCATGTTGCAAAACTTTTACCAGTCTGTGTCTAGTATTTTCTCCTCTCTTTAATAATGTTTCTAGGCTGGGGATTTAGCTCAGTGGTTTCGCCGCCTGCTGCGCAAGTGCAAGGACCTGAGTTCGATCCCCGGTACCAAAAAAATAAAATAAAATAATGTTTCTAATAATATTCTTCCTTTCAAAAAATCTTAACTATGCCAACATTTTCCTTCATGGTTTATGCTTTGTGGTTTCATACTGATGAAATTTCTCCTTACCCTAAGGTCAATAGCAGTCCTGTCTGTTGTTAATAAGTTGGCGCTCTGGGCCTTCTCATTTTCCACCTGGGATCAGTTTGTGTGGGATATGATGTTTAATTTCATGATTTTCCAGTTGGACATTCTCTTGTTGAATGGCAGTGTTCGCTTTAGTGATTTGCTGCACCAGCTTTGTCCTGAGTCAGTTTTTGTACAGGCAAAGATCTTTATTCTGTTCTGTTGGTTGTTTTTCTTAACCTATGCCGGTACTTCAATACTTTTTAACTGTTGTGAGCTTTTGTTCCTCTGTGGAATTTATAGTTTAAGTGGGAGAGATGGGACATCTTTAAATATTGATTCTTCCAAATTATGAATATGATGGTATAGGCCTCCTTCACTGTCTTCTGAACAGTTTTTAAATTTTTGCCATAGAAATCTGAAGACCTCTTGGACTGAATTTATCCCTATACTTTTTAAGCTATAGAAAATTGCATTATGGGACTGGGTATTTAGCTCAGTGGTGCCACACCTGCGTGGCAAGCACAAGGTCCTGAATTTGATCCCCAGTACCATGGGGGGGGGGAGAAAAGAAAATGACATTTTAAAATTATTTCCTAATTATAGCAAGTGTATGGAGACACATTTTCTTTTTCTGTGCCTGTATACATTTTGTACATTGACTTAATATCCAGCAAACTTTACTAAGCTCATTAATTCTAGTAATTAGTAAGTTTCATTGAGTGATCTAAATAAATAATCATGTAATCTATTAGTAATAAAAGTTTTCTTAGCCAGGTGTGGTTGTGCACACCTGTAAGCCTAGTACTCAGGGAGGCTGAAGCAGGAGAACTGCAAGTTCAGTCTCACCCTGAGTGACTTAGTGAGACCCTGACTCAAAATAAAAAATATTTTAAAAGGGCTGGGAGTGTAGCTTAGTGCAAATATGCTGGAATCAATCCTGAATGACATAAAAAAATATTTCTCCTTTCTTTCTGGCCAATCTTCTTGACAATCTTTCTTGTTCTTAATGTGCTGGCAGGGACTTCTAACTAAGACAAGTGGTGATAGTAGAACTCTTTGTCATGTTCTTCAGCTAAAGGAGATACTTTCAACATTTACTATTATATATGATTTTTATAGGGTTTATGTAGCAAGCTTTTATCAGGCTAATGAAGTTTACTTCTTTTGCTAGTTTTGCAGAAGTATAGATTAGTTTCTTATAAATAGATACTGGATTTTATCATCCTGTAGAAAGGAAATTCTTTCATTAAAATTTTTACATTTTTATTTCTCTTTAGCAAAGAAGTTTGTGATCCGGATATTGGTGGCAATATCATAATGTGTCCTCAGTGTGATAAGCTTTGTCCATTTTGGAAGCTCAATATTACTTGCGAGTCCTCAAAGGTAATCTTTATTATTCTAAATATTTACACATAAATGAAACTTTTAAAATTCTATCACTTAAGTGTTACATAGAAATTATATCTTTTTTCTCTGAGGAATTTGGAAGGGTGTTTTTTGACTAAACTTCCAGACAGTCTGAAGGGTAGTATGTAATGTGTATTTATTCCTCTTTCACAAATAATAGAGATTAAAAGCCTTGTCTAGGGCTGGGGATTTAGCTCAGTGGTTTTGCCACCTGCTGCACAAGCGCAAGGACCCAAGTTTGATCCCCGGTAACAAAAAAAAAAAGGTTTGTCTAAAATCTCATGGAGAGCCAGTAAGAAAATGGTGGAATTGAAATTGAGTATTTCAGGTAATCAAAACAGAGTCTCATACCAGCTTATTTTATGAACACTTTTTATTGCATTTATTATTATAAGTATTTTCCTTAACTCAAGTGAATAGAAATGTCATATTTGTACTTAAGAAATTTGTACTTGTGAGATTTGTGTTTTCTATATTTCAAAGTTTGTTGAGACTATGATTGGATTTTTAAAGACCTTGCTGGTCAGATTTAGACTGTATGTATCAATACATATATAGTTTTGTTGATAAGTGATAAAAGAAGTTTGTCTCAAAATATTCTCAGAAAACACATCTAGCTCACCTTATACACGCAGGTTGTTTGAGCTCTTAAAATCCAGGAGGTTTAGGAAAAGCATTGAGATCAGAAGAGCTTACTGAGAAGCAGGCTGGAAATTCCATAGAGGTGAAGGAAGATTCACCTTCCTTTAGCTTCCGAGCATCTTCCTGATGACTGACGTGCCACCTCCCCTCGTCATGGTCCTCTTGTCCTGCTATGAGAGGTTAGGAGTCAGTATATGGCCCTAGAACATTCTGACCTACTACTGTAAATCTTTTTTTTTTTTTGGTGGTACCAGGGATTGAACTCAGGACCTTGCACTTGCCAGGCAGGCACCACTGAGCCAGATCCCTGGCCCCTACTACTATAAATCTGATTCCAACAGAATATATATTTTATACTTTTCAAAGTTCTTATACTGATGTTACTGCTTTTGATAAATACACCATCCCTGTGAGATAGGTAAAAATAGAGTATCTGCATTTTACAGATTAAAACACTAAAGATCTGAGAGATTAAATAATCTCCGTAAGGTCACCCACTGACAATTGGCAAAGCATTGATGGCAAATCTGCATTTCTTGTCATTGCCATGTTCCTTGACAGCTGACAGTGCTACCAGGCACTTCACTCCCAAACCCGGATTTACATTTGAAACCCTATTTCACCACTTGGTTAAAATGATTGCAGGGCATTGTTAACACTTTTTCTTTCTTATATTTCTGAATAAAAGAGACTTACTGCCCCCCAGATATAAACATCTCTGCTAGATCACACAAAGTAAAAGACTTGAAGATGGGAAGAAGGAAGTTCTTTCCAGTAATGCTGGCTCCGATTAAGTCATGAGTCAGCACACATCTGGAGGCCCTGGATTTAAGCATAGGCCAGGGATACTAGAGGCAAATTGTACTCTGAAAAAATACAAATGCGAAGTCCACTTCCTTCAAGCAGTTCTCTCCCTCACACTTCCCTCTGCAACTCTTCCCTCATTTCCTCTGCTCCATCCTTAGCATATGACTTTCACATGTCTCTCTGTACAACTCTTCCCATTGTTTTGGAAACCAGTGGGTCCTTGATTTTAGTTCAGTTTCTTGAAAGACCTCTTAAATCTTGCCAGTGTGATATACAAAGGGAGGAAACATATAAAAGAATGTGGAAGAAATGGTAAAATGGGAAAAAAAAGTTCAAAAAAGGACACATTTTCTAGCTTTATTATTTGTTGGTTAATTCATTTATTCCTTTTTTCTTCATACATTTGTTTATGTGATTTCTACCTCTTTTTTGAAAGAGAAGAGTAATCACTAATTGATAATGTACACTAGAAGGATTAACAAACTAAAAATAGTAATATAAAGTGAGAACCAAGGAAATGAAGAAACAATTATGCAGAAATAGGGCTGATGGTTTTTATTACGACTGAACGTTGAAAAAGAATTTTAGCTTTGTGCCTAGCGTGATAAAAGGAAAACATGGTAAGTTCTAATATTTTGCTCTTAGAAGTACATTAACTTATAGTGGGGTTTTTTTTCACTCTTGAAGAAAGAAAGCATAAAAAGTAATTAAACATTCTGATTGGTTTTTCTGCTTAAAGTCATCATGTGCAGCACCCTCTTTTTTACCTTGCTTCATGTGACTCAGACAGTATGCTAATTCAGGGCAGCTCTTAACCTGCTGCCTTGTCCTCTGTGCCGTCCAGCCAAGCAGGCCAAGCTAGGCGTCTTATTAAGAAAGTCCCCTGCGTACTTGGCCGCCTTCTTCCCCTTTCCACATGGCTCTCGTGGGACACAGAGCAGAGAAGTGAAACATCTTATTCTTTCACCTGGATTCTTGATTCTCACACATGTTGCAAGTATTTAAACTTCATCCCCCACCTAGGAATGCAAAACCTGTCATCTTGAGCTAGGTAGCCAGTGTGATCTTGGCAGTGACAGTAAACTTGATGTCCCTCACCACTTCAGTTTTTCTCTCTACTCCTGACAGATATGTTTTGACTTTCCCAAAGAGTAGAGCTGAGGTTTCACACATAGTATTTTTTATTTCCAAAGTGAGTGGGCAAAAGTATCAGGACAAACAGGGAAGTATCAAATAGAGAAAGACTTGCATTGATTACTAAAATGGGACTGACCCTGGAGGGAATGTTTAATTTATAACATGCAAGAGCTCTTTTTCATAGGACTTTTCATATAATTTACAATAAAGGTTAAAGCATAACAATAAAAGACAACTCGAAGATGATGATTCCATGAGTCAAAACCAAAAGTTTTGTAATATGTGCTTTATAGAATCGCAAGACTAGAGGAGTAGGTGGAGAGCATTGTTCCCCTAGCAGTCATGCTTTTATTAATTCTGTCTTCCTTGAGCTGGATTTTTTAAAAGAATAATTGAGTAAGACAATTTAGGATCATGCTTTCTGATCAGGATATATGTGGATGATCAAGGAGGCATTTATATGCTTTGGAAACCAGATGGATGAGATGATGACTAGGTTTCTTTTTTTTTTTAACAAGAATAACATGACTAGTGTTTTTCCATAGATAACAGTTTACCCACCCTTTGTGAGTGTAAAAGACAACCCCCAAAATTATGTAAAACAAAGTAGACTGAATTTTGATTAGCATATGAAAAGTTTGCTTTTTTTCACCCCTACCTAGCTTCTTTTTCTACCCAATTGTTGCCATCTTTACTTTTCATTTTACCTATTACAAAGTAGATATATCTTTGCCACTTTTGCATTATCTTTACAGTTTTAAGAAATGTAAAAACACTTATTGACAAAAATTTGTAACCAATTGAAAGGTCTTCCAGGAAGTCATAGATGGGGATGGGCTCTTTGTGTACCAGTACTAGCAAAGAAACCAGACTTAGCAGAGCTAAGAATAGAGCCTTCTTTGGCTGTATAACATATCTGTGTTACTTATCATTCATGATGATTGTAATGTTAGAGAAACCACCTGTGTATCCTTTATCCTAATGAAAGCACCTTCCAGCCACAAGATAAAAGCCACCCTTGGGTTTGAGGAAACCGGGCTCTTCTGGCAGAGAAACATCTTCACGTACACACAGCTTTGTACTTCTTTTAACAAGAAAAGCAGGAATTCCGGACTTGCTCCTTTGAGAAGGGTGAAATGACGCTAAGATGCAAATCATAAATCTGAAAGTTGCTCACAGGGCATCATGTTGTTAGAGCCACTGTATTCCTCACATTCATATGACATCTTCTAAAAAGAGGCCATTTTTCAGTCCTGACGAAGGCTTTAAGCTGAGTGGGATCTTAGTAGCTGCACCTGTTTTCTTTATTGTCGTACAGAAAGATTCCATTGGAAGATGCACTCAATATAGCAAAGGCTGTTTGCTTTTAAAAGCATGAGAAATTCCACCTGTAAGTCTGTATACATATGGTGATTGTTAAAGTAGGTATCACCTTTAAAAGAAATTCAGACTGCTTATACAAGACATTGCATATTTACTTAATTCTAATAAGGGAAGAACTTTGATTCATTTACATGTTGTTTTCCAGAAATTGTGCATCTTTGACAGTTTTGGAACCCTAGTCTTTGCAGTATTTATGGGAATATGGGGTAAGTTGTTTTTATTTTTATACATTCAATTTACTAGTATTATGCAGTTTCATATAGGCTGTCAAACAACCCACCTGTAAGACTTTGTATTGCCTAAGCTTCAGTTTTGCTAGAGCTTCATTTGTAATTCTAAGGCCATTATATCAGTTAGCCTTTACTGCGTAAAAATACACCTTCAAATGTAGTGGCTTAAAGCATTATTAAACCCTATTGCTCAGTTTACTATTTGCCATGGTTCTGTGGGTCGGCTGGAAGGTGGCTCAGTGATCTCTGCAGCGAGCTGATGGCTCCACTGGGGCTAGATGGTCTGGCAGTTAAAAGCCTGTATTGGTTGGGGGGCTCAGCTGGGAAGGCTTTTCTCTGCTCCATCGGGTCGCCCATCCTTAAATAGACTAGCACAGGGTTCTTCATATGGTTTCAGGGTTCCAAAGAAAAGCAAGAGAGGACAAGACCTAAAGTTCAGGCATTTTTAAGCATATGGTTGCATCAAGTTCACTGATGTTTCATCAACCAAAGCAGGTCATGTGGCCAAGCCAGCATCAGTGTAGGGGTGAAGGATGGGAGAGCTACCTCAAGGCTTGGATACAGGAGTGTGATTCCTTCATTGGAAGCTATTATACATAAAGCATACCTTATCTGAAATGCTGGGACTGAAAATGTTTCAGTCTTTTCAGATTGTGGAATATGTGTATAGACTACCAGTTGAATATCCCTAATCCAAAAATCTGAAATCTGAAATGCTCCAATATCTGAAGTATTTGAGCATATCATATCAGTGCTCAAAAATTTTCAAATTTTGAAGCATTTCAGACTTTTGGGCCTGTATTTACAACCATCCCTGTAGTTGTGGTCCCATCTCATTTTTGTGGAGGTGAGAACGGGGAAGAAGCAACAACAAAAGGATTATGGGCGAGCTTTATGTTTACACATCTATATGAATGATTACTTAGTATATTGTCTCATAATGCAAATTGTGTAATAAGTAAAATAGATATAATCCTAAAGAACGTTAAGTCCCCACTGTGTTTGTTTTTTACTTTATATAGCTTCGTTGATTTAATGACACAATTCTTTTCTTTAAATGGAGACTTCTAAATGTTTAATTGATGTACATGTTCTAACATAGGAGAAAAATTTGCATTTTTAAAGACAAATACATTTCCAGTTTCATCCTGTGCAGAAAGGGACAGTAGGGTTCGGGTTAAAGGAAGCTGGGGGAAAGAACTGACCCAAGTTTCTTAAGAGGAAACATCAATCCATGCAACATGTAGAAAGCCTTACTCCCAAGTATCTTCAGCAGTCTGTCTCTTTTGGAATGGTTGTGCCTACAAAAAGGGTCACCAAATGGATCAGTGAACAGACAAAATCCAGTTATTGTGCACACTATTTAGAGATGTTAGTTGCCACTCATGGATAAAGTGAACTATAAAGGTGCCAGACTTAGTAAGTGACATTGTCATTAGATATTTTCCATGTTTTTGCTGGAGACCACACTGGCAAAATTTGACACATAAAAATAAAGATCAGATTTATATATTAAGATCCCCTACACTCCTCCATTGTAAAAATACATCTTTTTTTTTTTTTTAGGGTAAGAGCTCAAGTGCTGAACATATGGGTCAGCGCTTTTAACTGTGGTCTTAACCGCAGTCTCAGCACTGATTGTAATCTGTGTGACTAATACATCTGTTGAACTGTGCTATACTAGTGGATGCTGATTGCAAAATAAAGCATTTTAAATAAAACAAAAAAATACATTAATTTTGCTAAGAAAGACCTCAGATTTCCCAGTAACCTTCCTTTTTTCTGATTACTAACTATACCAAGTTTATGAAACTGCCTTTTGCACTGGGCTAATTTTATTTTTGTCTGATTTTAGAATGCAGAAGACATTTCAGTACTGCCTGTAGCATCATATGTAGATCTTTAAGTGTATGTCTAGATGATGAACTCTTTAAGTACTTTGTGTTGCTTTCCTTGTTACTGCCTTATGAGAACCATCGCTGTGAACCTCGTTACAGAAAGTCTGAAACTGCAGAACCCAACGGGGGAGACTCTTGTGAAGTTATTCATATCATCGCCTTCATATTCCTGTAGCATCTTTTTTGTCCCAAGTGGATGTGACAAAGTATTTTTCTCCTCACTGGAAATGATAAAAGTTGAGGATAAAAAATGTTTTATAATGAATACAGTAAAAACCATATACTTGTATGAAAAATGTCCTCCCTTTTAGGTCAAAGCAGCTCTCTCAATTTTACTTATGGAATCCTAAACACAACCTGTGATTATAGTAAAGGTTCTGAACATATTCACTCTCCCCATTTCTTGTTGCTTAACTACTTCCACCTGATTTTCCGTGGCTCAGACTCTTGGCCACATGAACTGCAGTTTTTAATTTTCATACCTGAGGGCTGAGTGATAAATAGGGCCTAGTAATTTCCAGAAAAAAAAGTTGAGACACCTGGCTCACTAAGGATCCATGGAATCCAGAAGCCTCACTAGCTCCACATGGGGATAAGGAACTGGCTACTGCAATTGTTACTTCTTGGGGGTCCACAGCAGCAAAATAACACAGCCTCTATTCAACACAGTTTTTTATTTGGTGACACACAGATGTGTCTGACAGTCATTTTAAAAGTCACATCTAAAACTCTAGCTGCAAGGGAATCTGAGAAATGTAGTTTCTAACCTCCTTCAAGTTAGCAAAGTGCAGTAAAGACTGAGCACACTAATCTACCTCACAGACCTTTGTAAGCCCTGAGGTCTGAATAGTTTCACAGCCTGTTGAAACATCCCAGATCTTCAGCAGCAAACTCTCATAGTAACAAGAACACTCACATCTACCAGAGCATGTCTCTTGTCTTTACTCATTGCAGGATATAACAGCACCAAGAGTATACTGCTCTGAACCCCTTTTCTGTGTATGGGCATCTTCTTCATCTGATTCCTATTTTCTTTAGATCTAATAATAACATGATTGAGTGAAGCTGCTTTTTATTCCCAAGACCCAGACAACCCTCTCTCTTTTCTTATATGTTGATGTAAGAGTTTTAACTAATTGACTAGAGCTCCATGGTGTGTGATTTGCCAGAAAATAAGAGTGCAGCATTGCCCACTGGAGTTGTACTAGTTGTCTCATTGCAGAGAATGGGAGCAAAAGACACAGAACTGAAATCTCTATCTGTGATCATACACAGTCATCCCTTGTCCTGGGGCTGTCTGTGTGGGACTTGCATGTCGGTCCGCCCTGGCGTGGTCTAGGAATACAGTACTCCAGAACACTCAGAAACTCTACTAGGTTACCAGTGCCTTCCACAGACCCTGCCCCCACAGTCCTGGCCTGCAAGTGAAATGAGGAACCAAAGCTCCCACCCATTCTGGAACTCCCAGGAGTTTTGCCTTCGAGGCTGAGAATTTGCTTACAAAATCATGATATTTCTTGCTTACATTGCAGTCTTAGCACTTAGGAGAATTGACCCTGAAGTTCAGGGTTTAGTAAACATCAACCATTTTGTCCCTTATGTTCAGGGAGAAAGGGGAAGAATAACCACTATTCTTTCATACTAATAGCATTGATTAGAATTGCTTATGTTGCTTTTTTTGTGGGAAAAGCTCTTTATTTTCATGAATCATCTCTTTTTGATACAGTTGCTAGATAGATACCTAGAAAAATGACATGATTTTAAAGGTGAGGAAAATGGCGAGTAGATTAAGCAAATTATCTAAGGCTCTACAGACCAAAAGCAACAACCATAGAATAAAAGAGCCCTGTGAATAATTTGACTGGATCAGTGACAAAATGTGATGTATATTAATAAATCTGTAGCCAGTTTTGGGAAAGATGCAAAAATATTTATTTTGATTGATAGAATCAGACTATTTTGTTTGGAGCTATGAAAACTAGAAGTGACTTAGGAAATGTCAGTTCCGTCTCTTTGTTTCTACCTCATCTGACATGGGTATTGTCCTTTGTATAACAGGAATAAGATGCCACCAGTCTTTGAGCATAATTTTAATAGACTTATGAAATCAGTACTGGTTTGTTTCATTTATGTGTATAGGTATTGTATTAGTCTGTTTGCCATTCCTATAACAAAATACTTAAAGCTGGGTAATGGATATAGAAAAGAGATTTATTGAGCTCTGTTTTGGACATTCAGAAGCATGGTGCACCATCGGTCCAGCTCTGGTGAGGACTCTTTTGGCTATGTAACATGACAGATAGCATCATGACAGGAGTGTGTGTGAAAAAGATCCCCTAGCAAGACAGGAAGCCAGAAACTGGGGAGGGGCCTGTCTTGCTCTTTTATAACAACCTACTCCCTTGGGGACTAACTGGGGTCCCATGAGAACCACATAATCACTTCCAAGGCAGTGTCCCTGACCCCTTAACCACCTTCCACTTGACCCCACTTCTCAAGAGTTCCACCAGTTCCCAACATCACCGCACAGAGGGCCAACCTTTGAGTGCATGAATCCTGGAGGTCCACCCTCAGATCAGATCAAACCATAGCAGGTGCCAAAGTGCAACAGGATTTTAATGTTTTCCATCACAATTTCCTTTAAAATATAGTTAGGTTCAAAGAGTATATTTGTGAAACCTGTGAGGCACGATAGTGCATGTGGTGTTGCCTGCAGTTTGTCTACCCTGGACTCTGTCCAGCAGTCAAGATTCAAGAACTGGCTGTGACATCACCAATAAACTCAGATTCCCTATGGCATACTCTCCACCTCAGGTGAGCCAGGCTTTTGCTGGGTACAGGGTTAGCTAGGCCTTTTCCTGAGGGCCCAAGTGGACCAGTATAGCTGAGAGTGATGGAAAAATTGATGGTCTTATATAGAGGGGAGCAGTTGGCATCAGCTGGAACCTCTGAGTGGATGATTTCCCAAATACTGGGGGTCCTTGCCGTGTCTGGCATGGTTTCTTTCACTTTGTTCATTCACTGTGTGCCTACTGTGTGCTAGAACTCTAGATGTGAACAAACAAAATCAGTGCCCTCATGAAGGTGACATTCTTGAGGACATGATAGACAACCTAGAAGCAGATACAGGTAAGGATGCAGGCATGCTGCGTGTATTGTAGAGCAGAAGAGGGGTTGACATAGGGAACAAAGTATACTCTTTTTGAGAAAAACATACAGTATCACTGGAATGATCTCATAGTTATGGGGGGAAGAGTTGAGAACTTCAGGGATGGGGGAATATCCAATACTAGCAGTAGAGTTCTTGGATAAATTAAAGTAGGGGTCTTCTGTTTGATGGAAACAAATGGGTGTTTAGAGAGGAAATATGGGGTGTAGGGGGCTTTAGTAAATGGGTGGTATATGTTATACTTTTTCTGTATGCAGCCCTCAAGGGTTGCATACAAACACAACCTGGCCAGAATCTGCACTGCCCAGCAGGAGTCTGTTTGGGGAATATGTGCCACATGAGGCCAGCATGGTTCAGGTGGGTGGCAAGACTGTGTCACACCGTGGTCCCTTAAGGTTTTCCTCCCAGTGACAAAGGTTAGTTCCATCATTTCCCCATGGACAGGGACAGAGGCATAAATGCCTGGGAAACCCTTAGTTGTAGAGCCATAACTGTTCACTATATACAATTTGAGCCTGATTCCAACCTGCAGGTTATCTCGACTCTCACTTATTGTTATAGGAAAAATAGTAGGTGAAGCAAACACTGCTGGAAAGTGTGTGCTTTTAAACACTTCAGTTGTCCTCCCTCTTGGGGAGTGTTGGATTCATGCTCTGAAGAGCTGCACCCCAAGATTCCATCGTGCGTCTCAGGCTGCCTATGTGGGGGCTGCAGGCTTCATTCTAGCTTTCTTTACTATCTACTCTAGTGATTCCTCAATTCTGCTTATTAGAATTTAAAAGAAAAACAAAAACCTATACTCAACCCTCATTCCAGACCAGTTAAATCAGAATCTCAGAGTTGGTGCCTGGGCTCAGTATTTTTTAAAAACTCCCCAAGTGATGCTTAGGTGCAACCAGGGTGAGAACTAGCACTTCTCAGACCCCTCTTGTAGTGATCTCATCCACTCCAAGTTTTCCACCCCTGGCACAACAATGAAGACTCCTGGCTCAGCTCCGATCTTTACCCTTCATTCTGTGCTGAACATCTACTTACTAGACATCTCTCCTTAAGTAGCCCCCAGACCCCTGATCGTAACTGAGCCAGTCATCTTCCCGCTCAGACTTGTTCTTCTTACTGCATTTCTGAAGTAGAATTAAGGGCATTGCCCAAACCAGTAACCTGGCCAGCATCCTTGACCTCTTCCCACCCCTTCTGTCCTCCCCATGTCTTATCAGTCTCCCTGGTCACCCTTCCTCAGAGATGCTGCCTTATTAGGTGCCTGCCAGAAGGTCTCCCTGGCTCACTGTAGACTACGTCTAATGTCGCCTCCTCCTTGAGATTAAAACCCTAACTTTCAAGGCACGTTGGACCCTTTGTGATGTGTCCCTGAAGGTCTTCCGCATGGCTGCCCACTGCACTCATCCCACCTCATTCACACCCAGACTGTGTCCTGGAAACACACCCAGGCCTGGTGCTCTGGCCTCCTTGTCCTTTCATGTGCAGTTCCCTAGGGAAAAGTGGCCTTAATTCCACCTACCATCCATACCTGATCAGCTCAGAGTCACTTCATGGTTTGTCACAGTGGTCCCTCCCCTGGGGAGGCCTTCCCAAAACATCCGGAGAGATATTCCGGCTGTGTGCCCAGAGCCACCTGTGCTTAGCTTTGTCATGACCTTCTCAGTAGCCTACTGTACTTGCCACACTCATCTACCTGGGCACCCCCTAAAGTACAGACTGTGTCTTGTTTATTCTCAGCACACAGTAGACAACTGCAAAGTATTTGTGAGCAGATAAGTGCTAATTCCAGAATTTCTACAGAGAAAGGGCCTGAGGGTAGCAGTCTGATAGGAAGGGTCTAGGGAATTTACCCTGAGCCTGCATCTTCAATTAACATTTAATGTTTGCATTTGGTACTTTGAGTTGCAAATTCTGAGAAATGATTCCTAAAAATTATTTTTTCATACTTAGATTGAGAAAAATATCAGTTTTCTCTATAAAAAGAATATTACACTAATTGATTTGGAGAGTATGAAAACATTCCCTTCTCCTCCAGACTCTTAGGAAGGAAAAAAGGGAGGGAGCAAGACCGAGAGGATGTGGGGAAAAGTAATGGAATGGTGGACCGTGAGCTGCTTTTGAATGATGAATTCTTTGTGTTTTTAGTTGGCAAGAAAGTGCTGGTAGAAAGGCATTAGCGTTAGAGGCACTGACAAGCCTCCTGACCCTTCCACTGTTACCTTTCCCATAAACCACAGTCTGTGTCATACATTGTGTAAATTATCACTGTTTTCTTTTAAAAATAACTTTCAAAGTATCACTTATGAGTTAGGCTTTGTGTACCATATACAGCAGTATTATGGGTAACTGATGCGATACTGTTACTCAGCGTGGCTTTCTGGAACACCGTTCTTCCTTAAAGATCCACCTGCTCCTGTCCTCTCCCTCTGTTAGTTACGTTGTTTCTGGAGTTCTGGAAGCGGCGCCAGGCAGAACTTGAGTATGAGTGGGACACGGTTGAGTTACAGCAGGAAGAACAAGCCCGACCAGAGTACGAAGCCCAGTGTAATCACGTGGTGATCAATGAGATTACTCAGGTAAGAAAGGTGCTATTAGACGCAGTTACTCTGCAGTGGCCCTCAGCCTTGGCTGCGCATTAGAATTACCTGGGAAGCTTGAAAACTACTGGTGCTCAGATTCCATGACTACACGCTCTGAGGATAGTAGCCTGCGTGTGTTCTGGGCATAGACTTACTGCTTTGGTTTTTGGTTTTTGTAGCTTCTCTGGTGATTCTAACGCACAAGCCAAGGTGAAGAAACGTTGCTTATAACAGTAAATGCTGGAAATAGTATGGTCCCTTCTTTGGTAATAAAGGTAAAAATGTCCCCTCAAAAGTGCAGTGTGAGTTAGATGGATAAGGAAAAACGCATTGCTTTTTAACATCAATTCTCAATTTTCCACATGAACCCTCCTTACAGCCACTTACCCATTCTAAACTGCTGACCCTTTATCTTGCACTAAGCCTCAGTCACTGCTCCACATTCTAGTTGAGATGTGCACAGAATAGTGTGGCTGTTATCCTAAAGGGGGGGTGGGGGGTCGATGAAGAAGGAAACCATTTACTGTGGTCCGACAATGGTCAGGCACGGTGCTAGGCTTTTTGTATCACTGGAAAAGTAGATTTGCTGCTGCTGCTGCTACTACTGCTGCAAAAATAAAACTATAAAGCTATATATTCCAAAGCCTCCAAAAGGTGATTTTTGAACCCTCTGCATTATTGCTTCTTTCCATCCACACAGGACATTTAGAGCTGATTGTACTTGCAGTCATCAACGTAAGGACAGTGGTTTCCAAATAAGCATCACTCTTGGAAAGAAAATGCTTTCACCAAGAGCATCTGAGACTATCCCCAACTATAGATTTCATAAATTGAATCACAGATTTAGAGAAGGTTGGCACTAAAAGGCACTGGTGGGAGCGGTACAAACTCATTTTATAAATGGAAAAAAAATAAGGTTCAGTTATGAATAGAAGGTGACATTTATCTGTTACAGTGTAACAACCTTCCAGTAATTCCCATTATGAATGGTTACCATTGTTTACGAGAGAAGACAGAGTTAAAGCATTTGTTGTTGAAGGGTATATATTAAAAAATGAAAGCCAAAACTTAGATAAAATTAGATGTTCATTAAGTGTTTGGGGTACTGGGGGAAAAAAGCTTATAGTATCAGCAACATTGAAAAATACTAAAGAAAAAATAATTTGTTCATTTTTAAGACTGTCAATTTTATAGTTAAAATTGCCCACCAATAAGTGAGCTAAATTTTCATTGACATGTTGCTTGTTAAGAAATTGCAAGTGAAGATTCATTTTTCTATTTTTTGACCTTATTTCACTTTTTAATGCCTCCTCCGCTGATTTAGAGACACTTAAGTATGGTATGATGATGAAGTGTTAAGAATGAGACTGAAAAAAAAAAAGAATGAGACTAAATCCAAGTGTGAGCAAGCCACTGACTTTGGGTGATCTTGGACAGATTATTTAACTTCTCTGTGCCTCAGTTTCCTTATCTCTAAAACAGACTAATAGAGTTGCTTTCATGTTGTTGTGTTAAGGATTGAGTTTGTGTGCAAAGCCCACTTAGAATAATACATAGCACAGAGTAAATGCTGTGTAAGTATGTGCAACTATTATTATGCTGTAGCTACTCTTAAAGTCCAGGTAATCATAAGAAGCATTGATTTCCTCTCTTAAGAATCTAAATTTATTCTTATAAACTATAAATTGGAAACTGTATAATGCATGCATTAGACACCGAGTATTACAGGCATCCGTGAAACTGTTTTCTTGCCTGGGCTCTGTGCTGGCAGTATAGTTACTTCTAAAACCCAAGACGAGCCCAGGAATGTGGCTTTGATACTGAGACTCCTAAGCTTGGGTCACGGCAGATAGTTTATTATTCATGCTTGCATTTTCAAAAAACTTATTAAAATAAACACTGCACGTGTTGTGTTTGAAATTATAGGAAAAATATGCAGTTATGAGGAAGGAGACTGTGGTTACAAACTAATTTGTTTAATTAAATGAAGCCTAAGATTTGTTGGCAGATCAGGAGAAAAATAATTTTATCGGAGAAATCCCTTGATTAACTAAACTTTTTTTGTATATTAGGAAGAAGAGCGCATCCCCTTCACTGCCTGTGGAAAATGTATACGGATAACCCTCTGTGCCAGTGCTGTCCTCTTCTGGGTAAGAAACTGGCACAGCTCCTTTTTGAGTAGTTTAAAAATTTTTATTATGGAAAAACATTTTCAGTATATGATTTTAAATGCCAAGGAAATAAAAAGCCAAGCCTGGAACTATGTGGTCTCAGCCGTCTCCAGAAAGCTACTTGTCACTACCTGGAGTAACTCTTAAGGTTTCAAGCTACTGTATCTGTCTGCAGTGCTTCACCCAGTTCTTTGCATTTCCCTAGTTTAAATCAAGCCAGTGACGCAGGATTTTACAGTTTCTGGTAAAGAAACCAAATGGAAAGCATGAAGAATTTAAAAATTTTGCAGCACCAACAACCAAAATAAAACTTCTAGAAATAGCCTTTGCAAAAAAGATAAGTACTAAAAGTTTAAAATCCATAAAAATTACTTAAAGATATAAAAGAAAGCCTTAAATGATGTTATAGGCAAAGAAAATATTTCTAAACAACTTTAGATAAAACAACAATATCTCTAAAATGCTAGAATTTAAATTCGTTTTGGTTTGTTATTAACAAAATCATATTAGTAAGATAATTTAATGTTTTATTGAATCAAGAACCGCCAGATTAGAGGCCATATTAGAGAACAGGATATTGGAAATAGGCTCTGATATCAACAGTAATTTAGAGTAAGGGAGACAGTATATGTATAGGAGAGAGGTAGAAATTATTTGGTCAAGTTTGATGGCATACACCTATAATTCTAGCAGTTGGGAGGCTGAGGCAGGAGAATTGCAAATTCTAGGCAACCCTTGGATACACAGCAGGTACAAGGTCAGTCTGAACTACATACTGAAATCCTGTCTCTAAAAGCTAAAAAAAGAGAGATAGGAAATATTATTCCACAAATGGCAGTGAAATACTTGTTAGCAAGTGGGGGAAAAAGTAAAGATTAAAGAAAGCCGTACTTTGAATCACCACACTATATAATAAATTCCCAAAACATTTTTTAAAATGTTAAACCATAAATTTCTATAAATACTGTACTAATGAATCTCTAGCAATAGATGTTTCAGCAGAAAATGTTTAAATACTTCCATACACTGAATTTAAACAAAACACCAGAAAAGAATACTCGTTAACAGGTGGGATAAAAGTTTAGTACTTTTAGTACATAGATTCTAGACCACTTGTAGGCTAACACCAGAAATCACAGTACCAAAGGGGACAGAATATAAATGTGCATTTACAAAAGAAAAAATATAATGACTAATAAGCATGAGAAAATAGTCAAACCTCAATAGTGACCCAGTCCGGTACACGTTAAAATACAATACTCTTTCTCAACTTTCAGTCAGGGTCCATGTTTCTGAGCTAGGTCTTAGAGTCTTACTTCACCCCAGCCTTCCTAGAAAGCACTTAACAACATGTATTAAGAGTCTCAAAAATACTGATATGCTTTAATGCACACATATATTTCATCCAAAATGTCCCACTTCAGATCCACCACACAGCCTTGGGAAGGTGTGCTCATGAAAATATTTTATGACATGTAAAAATGCTATCCTTCATAATTAGTTTCAGAAAGGATCAAAATATGTATAGTGGTTTTAAATATGCAAATAATGCATAGTTCTGAAAGAATTATGCCTATGTATAAACAGAAGGAAATTTTTCAGATTTTTTTATATTATAATTAAGTCTTTCAATTGTGGTTGACAAAACTCAATCTCCAATCAGTTTAGACAACAAAAAATAATGGGAGGGTTTATTTATTGGTTCTCTGAGGTATGACTTCAGTTCAGGTTTGCTACTGCAGCTTAAATAACATTGAGTTCTGCGTTTCATTCTGTTCTCCTTTTGCCTCAGGTGTCTTCCCAGTGTGGTGGGTCAGAGTACTGCCTTATGGTAGCAAAATGGCTGCAGCATTCCAGATCTCACCTCATATCTAAGCAAAAAGAGGTCCTTTTTAGTGGCTCCCTTTATGTTAAAGGAAGCATCTTTTCTCCTGGGCACTAACAGATATCTCCTTACATCTCATTGGCTCTTACTGGTGAAGCCAGTAGGGTGAGAGACCTTAATTGTCTCAAACCAATCAAGATCTGCTGCTTGAGCACCATTGGGGTAATCCCTCCCCAACTTCAGAGCTGAAAATAGAGGTGGGGTTATCCCTCTACACACCACCAAAAATAGTACCTGAGTTCTCTTCTAGGATAAGGAACAGATCCAGTCCAGCAAAACCAACCAGCATCCATTACAGGGTACTTTGAAAACTCCTACAGTGAGCATATACTAAAATGATGACCCAAAAAGTAGTTAGAATCAGACTAATAAAAATCTTGAAGAATAAAAGCTTCCATGTCTCTGTAAAGAAATGTCAGATATATTCAGCATCCTGATAAGTTTAGAAATAAGTTTAGAAACTTAGGAAGTTTGTAAAAGCTCTGGAATGCATTAGAATTCATTCCATCAACCCCATGGGAGGCAGTAAGTACCGTGTAGGGTCGGCATGCCCTTGGGATCGTGGGGATCCCAGTCCTTTTACGACTAGTCGCTTAATCTTCAGCAAATTGCTAATTCTCTTAGGTTCTTTTTTCTCATCTATAAAAGAGGTATAATACTAGCATCTACCACAGGCCTGGATTCAACCAATATATATGTGCTGAAGTAAACAATAAGCATTTAAAGAATGCTATTATAGTCACTTAACAAATAAATACTGATGTAATTTTTAGAATTATATTTAAATGGCCTGCCTGTATGTGGTGTGCTAAGTGCGAGTTGATACATCATCTACTTTTTCTCAGCCTTAGCAATTTTTACATACATCTTAATTCATTTCACAAGTTAAGACATATCTGTGAAGGGAAGGAGAAAATGAGCAAGATCACAGGGGAAATATAATGCTTTCTCTACAAGCAGATTGCTTACAAAATAAGAAAAACGTCTTTTTAACACTGGTCACCGTATTCATAGCTATTTACATAGCGCTTGTCATGTGCCTGGACTTAAGTGTTTTTACCTGTAATTCATTGCATGTGCCACAGTTCTGTGAGTGGGTTGTTCTACAAATGAATGCCCATTGGCATAAATGGGTAGTTGAGGTCCTAGAGGTTAATTTGCTTAAGATCCTACAGCTTGTGGCAGAGTGAAGATTCCCATGCAAGAGTCTGGGCTCCAGGCCTGTCCTGGACTAATCGCTCCCTGTACTGCTCTCTGCTGGTGAAATGTGACCTCTGTTACTGTCAAGAGTGTGACATGATTTGCTCCGTCCTCTCTTGTGGCTGTCAACATGAGCAGTCAGACACACCGAATACATGGCTCTGGAGTATATCCAGGGAAGCGGATGTAACGAAAACAGTGTAAAGTTGCCTCTCCAGTAAAGTTCAGTATTATATATCAAGTAAGAAGATTCATGGGACCTTAATGTACACTAGTCAGTGCCCAGAGAAAAGCTGTGTATTGGGAAGTAGAATCCTATCAGTGGGCAAACTGTGTTTCAGATCCCCCACTGTGCAGTTAGAGCATAAGGATCAATGAAACGAATCTTGTGGAAATGCAGATAGGAATGGTTGCCACCATAAAATCTAAAGATCTGAGTGTGGAAAGCATAGGAAGCTTTCATCAGCAGAGACCTGCTGCTGCTACCAGCAGTTAGCATAGGGCACCTCTGACCAACTCCATGGCCAGCTTAGAATCTCCCCTGCTAGGTGATTAAGATAAAAGCTAGTACCTGCTAACTCTTGAACTGGTGACAGGTTTCCTGTTGGAAGGGATCATATCTCCTTAATGGGCATAAAACCACTAAATTCTAACCTAAATCATTCAATAATTGTAGAAGGCATGTTCTCATTGGTCCTACAAAAACGGACTCTTTTCCCATAATTCTGGTTTTACACTGTCTGAAGATACACTGGATTTTGTTTTGTTTTGTAGATATACTTTTTTTAAACACTTTACAGAAAAATTTACATAGAAAGCGTGGAGCTCCCATAACCCCCTTTACTCCCACACCCAATTGCCCCGTTACTAACATCTTATGTTAGTGAGTTCAGCCTCCTTTGACCTCCACCAGACCTTTCCCTGTCTCAGGTCCTGTTTCCCACCTCTTCCTGTGACATTTACATGAAATTTATATTGCTTTACATGTGTACCTTGTTCATTTCAGCATGGGACCAATTTTTAACAGTGAAAATCTGATTCATGGTTAGTTTCATGCCACTGTGCCTACTGTGCTTTCAGATCCTGTTGATCATCGCTTCAGTTATCGGGATCATTGTCTATAGGCTCTCGGTGTTCATTGTGTTTTCTACAACCCTTCCCAAAAACTTCAGTGGGACAGACCCCTTCCAGAAGTATCTGACTCCACAGATGGCCACATCCATCACCGCTTCCATCATTAGCTTCATCATTATCATGATTCTGAACACCATCTATGAAAAAGTGGCGATCATGATCACTAACTTTGGTAAGATCCAATCTTAGCTTAGCCCACTGTATATTCCTGAGGCATTTTCAGAACCTGATAAAAATAGAGACTGCCTTTTAGCTGTTTAAATTCCTATAGCTTACATTTTTTAGAGATTTTCGAGTGTGAACATATTTTATCTAGCTTGTATCGAAATGAATTATCTACAGCTTTGCATGAATAAGAGGAACAAAACAAAGACAATCATTATAATGTCCAGGCTCTGTGTAAACAGATCAGTACTGAAGAATATTTTCAATTACATTAGATCATGCACTCTACTGTTGAAGGCAAATAGTCTCTTTATTGCAAATAAGTGGAATAGGGCCATAGTTCCAGGGGCAGATATACTCCTCTATTGCAGAGAGGACAAGCAGTCACACTGCTCCGTGTCTTTCCTCATGCTGTTCATATTAATATAACTCTCATCCGCTCTGGCTTTTATAATAAATGTTTCTTCTCCTGGCGTGTATCCCAGGCAGCTGCTTAGTGACCGGAGTGAAGTGCCTCCCACACCCTGCACATATCTGGGTCACTGTCTGAGTGGACTTCAGTGGTCATCTTCCCACAGTCAGAACAATTCAGAGTCCAGACTAGGTGGACGGCCTGTTCTATCTTCCCCTATGGCTCTAGCAAGCTGCCCCTTTTCAGCAGACCCACCTTTGTGCAACTCGGGAAGATAAAAGATCATCATTTAGCAGGCAGTTCACAAATAATTTTCTGTCAGTTTAGAACTAAGACAGTTCATAGCCTAATACTTGAAAAATATATATATACATAATTTATTCCTATGCACTTACATCTGTATCTATATATCTATATGTAATATTTGTTTTTACTTGGGATGTATTCATGTGGAAAGAGAACTTATATAACAATATTTAAACTTGGAACTAACATAGTGGCTATATTAAGGAACTGAAAAGAGTTTAAGTGGAAACAGTGTTAATTGTTTTTTCAACATGTTAACTCATGTATAAGTGTCTGATTAAGATCTCAAAGCTTTTCACAAATTTAAAATCTTTTCTTCATTTTACTTACAGAACTCCCAAGGACCCAGACTGATTATGAGAACAGCCTAACCATGAAGATGTTCTTATTCCAGTTTGTCAACTACTACTCATCCTGCTTCTACATAGCATTTTTTAAGGGCAAATTTGTAGGCTATCCAGGAGACCCAGTATATTGGCTGGGGAAATACAGAAATGAAGAGGTGTGGAAATAGAATTGCATTCTCCTGACAGTTTAAGCTGCTTCATGTTTTCTCTCAGTTGCCTAATGTTTCTTCATTGTATATTCTTTAGATATTTTTAGCCTAGACAGAATATAAAAAATAAAGTTAGTAACTGTGTTTCTTGTTACATCCATCTAAAACCTAAGTGAGTTTTTCTTTTTCACATTGTAGTGTGACCCAGGTGGCTGCCTCCTTGAACTGACGACTCAGTTGACAATAATCATGGGAGGAAAAGCAATCTGGAATAACATACAAGAAGTATTACTTCCGTGAGTATTAAATAGTGTACTCTTGAGTAACAAGGACAAGGGACACGTCAGCCCACCCGTCCATGTTTTTTAACCTTAGTAGCCACAGAGCTGTGTGTCCACCTCTAAGTGGATTAGAATCTATTATAATTAAAGGTCTTCAGACAAGCTAGTCTATCCAATGGTTGAAGCATATCCAGCATATCCAGTATTAAATAATTATGTAAAACCTTCCTTATATTTAATGAAAATCCCTACCTGCTCTAGTTTGTGCTGCTTAAGCTGTAATTGGCACCAGCTAATCACAGGCTTTTGAGGGCGGGCTCGTTACAGCTGTGAACTACGTATTTCCACAGCTTCTCACTGTCCTCCATCCTCCGCTTTATACTAGAGTTTTAAGAAGGTGATAGTGATTTGTTGAATTCTTTGTATGTGCCAGTCACTGCATTAAGCGATACATAGTTTATATACAGTGTAATATTTAGTTTAATCTTCCTCCCCTTTGAAATTATGATCTTTGACTTAAGTTCACACTGGCAATAAGAGACGACTGGCAGTTCAGCACCAAGATCCCACAACTCCAAGCCCATGTGAATTCTGCAGTGGAAGTTCTGGGGTAGAGAGGTAGCTCAGTGGTAGAGCACTTCACAGGTTGCCCATGGCCCTGGTCTCAATACCCAGCACCACCAAAACAATTTTTTAATAAAAGGGTTTTTTTGGGGAGGAACCCTAAGGCATAAGAATACATACATAATGTTTTAAGACGTAATTGTCTAAAATAATAACCCCAAAAGTTTTGACTGTCTTTTTCTTTAAAAATGAGAATAGGAGCCCAACATAATGGCACATGCCTGCTATCCCAGCACTCTGGGAGGCTATGGCAGAAGGATCACAAGTTTGAGCCCAGACTGGATAACTTAGACTCTGTCTCAAAAAGAGGTGGGGGCTGGGGATGTTGCTCAATGGTATAGCACCCTGTGTGCAATCCCCAATAACCCCACCAAAAGAAATAGGATATAGTAATACCTCAGACATTAGCTAAAATCTACTGTTCTTTCAAATTTTCACTTAAATCCCATCCCATATCAAAGTGGAAAATCTAGTGCCATCTATATTTCCTATGGATTTCAGGAATCTTACTGGTTTTCTGTTGATGCTGTAACAAGTTACCATAAAATTGATGGGTTAAAACAACACAATGTAGTATTTTATGGCCCAGGAAGTCAGAAATCTGACACTGGCCTCACTGGACCAACATCAAGGTGTTTGGGGGCAAAGTCCCTTTCAGGAGGCTCTCAGGTGAATCTCTACTTCTTCCAGCTTCTAGAGAGGTGGGTGCACATCCCTTGCACATCCCTTGGCTTGTCACCTCTGTTCTCCATCTCAAAGCCAGTAGTGTCTGATCCTTCTGTAGCTCTGCTTCCCTCTTCCTCTTTAATGACCCTCTTAATTATGTTGGACCCACGCTGATTGTCTAGGATGATCTCCCTGTGTTAAGTCAACCAGTGAGCAACCTTAATTCCCCTTTGCCCTGTAACACACCACCTATTTTTTTCCAAGGCAATTTCTGGCTCTGAGTTTCTGCTGTCTCGGAACTTGATTGCCCTTCTGTCTTTCCTCTTACATCTGTACCCTTCTCTATTCCATGCCAGCCTAAATGCAGATACGTAGTGCCCTGCTCACTAGTGTCCTCCAGAACCCCCCAAGCCTGTAACCCTCCCCCCACAGCATAGTTTGCTACTGTTTGGGCCATGAAGGCAGAAACTCAAACAAGTTACGTTTTGAAATGAAAAAAAATCCCACCCCAGTATGCAACTGGGGTGTTTTATCTTCCACTTGTCACCCTTCTTTCTCCAGCCTCCTGCCATCCTGTCCTGTCTCCCCCATCATATACAGTTCCTCTTTCTCCTCCTTCCGCTTGCCTTTCCTCTTCATCACCCCCATCACCAGGTTTCTCTCCATTGTATAAATACATAAAATAGAAGAAAATTCTTAACTCAGTCTCAGATTATTAAAAAGCATTTTCTGAACTAGGCAGATGAATTACTGAGTGCTAAAATTTGATAACTAATTGTTGGCAATGAGCTGTTTTTTCAGTTTGAAAAATTAGAGACAAGGGTATATTTCTTAAAGTAGGGTTGAGAAATTAAGGACAAATTATAGCATCCATGACCTATTTATATTTTCATTTCAGGTAAGCTCATTGTTAAAAAATACAGTGACCTGAACTTTGCCTTTAGATATTTTTACTCTTGGCCTAAAGTATTTCTGCTGGATGTTTTAAATTATTCCCTTAGCTTGAAAACTGAGAATGGTCAGTGTTAGTCAAACTTACGTGCCTTGGGTGGGCTGCTGTTGCTTTGTGTAGGTTCCTGTTTCCTTCTTTTTATTTCATACAAAATCCTATACAATGATACAGCAGTTACCCTTGCCGCCCAGAGCTTCACCCATCGCAGAAATAAACAGGAAGGGAGAGAGCAGCCTGAAAGTCAGTAGCTGTTTTCCTGTTGATATGTCAAAAGAAACATGGTAAAGTATATTTCGCCAGAACTCTACCTTCTCCATCCTTTGAGGTGCTTTGGGCTCATATCTCCGACTGGGATTCTTGGCACCAGGGAAGCAACGTGTCCAGCACTCTGGTCCAGGTTCCCTCTGGCATTTCTCCCGAACCTGGACTGATCCTGGGTGTAAAGCAGGCCCTGGGAACAGACTGTTGATCAAACAAGTGCCACATATGCTTCAAATACAGAATAGCAGCAAATTACAGAACTGTTTGTTAGACCCAGAGAACAAACTTCGAACCCTTTGGGCTTCCCAGCTCCACTTCGCATTTTAATGTTTGAGGCATTCTTGGGAATTTGCTTTATACTGTACTTGACAAGGGGTTAATATAATTCCCGTGTTAAGCAAATTGCTCTGGAGAAACTTTCATAATAAGGAAAAATAATTAAGCTTCCAAAATGCCTATGGTGTTAGTATCCTTTGGTGTGTAGATGGTAGATAGCTAGAATTTTCTTCATTATCTCTTCTGTATTTTCCACAATGAATATGCACTGATATAATTAGAGAAATGAGCCGTTCTAGAAGATATCCTTTCTCAGTATATGATGTGGAAAGAGAATGAGCCAGAGATACACAGAGAGTCCTAGATCTGGTTCTCTCACTATCCACTTCAAGAAGAGTAAACTCAGGCATGAAATAGATTCAGATAGTGAGAAGTGCTTACATTTCAAAATTAGTGGGAATACTGCAGAATGTTCTACACAAGTGGAGACTATCTTTAGTATGTAGAAAAAGAAAAAATATGGCAAAGGCCAAGAGAATATAAGGGTTAAGTATTTTCCACTATACATAATAAGTATTTAGTAAAGCTCAACTTGTTATATTGTGGTTATATTAATATGCATGGTTATATTAATAGGCACTGAAAATTCCTAAGGAATTCTAATCTTAGCCAACAGAAAAGACACCTGAGTATTTTTTTAAAGCCCTATAGGTGGTTCTCAGCTGCAGTCAAGATTGAGATTTCACTCTAGAATTAAAGCCCAGTAGAAAAACCGAAAGACCCTGGGCAGTAATGGATGTATTTCTATATAGATGAGTGATTCAGCTCTGGAAATCGGATTAAGAGGCTCAGAGTCTGTAGCTCTGCAAACAAAGCTCATCAAAAAGACCTCTAACATGAGCTGACTTGGGGAGGCAGAATAGCAGGAAAGGGAAGCAGCAGGACAGAGGTTTCGTCCCAAAACCAAGCTGATGGACAGAAGGGTACCTGCTTCTCTGGAGGCATGGACAGGATTCAGAAGGGGCTGAGACCGGAAGTGGGGAGACAGAGCAAAAAATAAACCAACAGAAACCCCAGTAATCTCAGGTGTGGAGATGTGAAGAGGGGTGGACATGTGTGATCCTCGGTGTAACCTGTGTCACAAGGCCCTGGGATGGCAGTAAGGCAGCAGGTTCTAGGACATTCCTCAGGTCTTTTGATTGAAGTATAGCAAGCTGCACTATTAACAAGCATCGTGTGTCTTTCTTGGAAAATCCCAAGTGAGAACCATTGCTCCAGGTAGCCTGTTATCCCCAAGATCCCCAAGTCAAGACTCCCAATAAGGTACGCCTTATTTTCAGTCAGCTTCATCAGGTGTGGCCTGTATTAGTCAACCGGAAACCTCATACAGAGGGTACAGGTGTGTTTGGAAATGTGCTACACCTTTTTAACAATTTTGAATTAATCTTGACAGCAGCCCTGGGCAGTGAACAGTGTGTCATTCTATTGTCTTTTAACTTTGCCAAAGCAGAATAGCTAGTAAGCAATATAGTATGGATTGAGATTCAGATTCACGGAATTTGAGTCCAATCCTTACCCTTTCCCCAGGCTCCTGATGCTTCCCTAGTGAGAAAGAAGCGGGAAGACTGAGGGCAGGAGCTCATTCTATAGGAAAACCTGTGTAGTCGGCAGAGAAAGAGCACCAAGATGGGTAGCAGTGAGAAGCCCAGTACATGAAGCATCATAAACCCTAACCTGGGCTGGCTGGGTGGAGACCGAGCAACGTGTACACGGGGAGAGGCTGGGGTCCCATGTGCTTTTCTCACAGCAGGTGCCTTCACAGCCCTCTGATGGCTTCTCATTGTCACATTTCGAAATCTACACCAATGGGTAATCAGCTGAAGCTTAGCCAGATGTTGTAGGTGTACTTGAAGTTGTTTATTGTTGTGCTTCTTCTGTGAACTCTACCTGTAAACAACACACTGGCTGTTGCTTGAGGGGACACTGGTTTTTTATCCTGGAGAGGTAAAGACACATTACTGACATTACTGCCAACTCAGATTTCTTTTCAGAGAAAATTGCCAAAAAAGTGGAAGAAGCATTTATTAGAGCCACAAGGCTTTCAGAGAGGAAAAACATGACATCTAAGAAAATAGACTGCTCAGGCCGGGGATTTAGTTCGGTGGTTTTGCCACCTGCTGCGCAAGCACAAGGACCCAAGTTCGATCCCTGGTACCAAAAAAAAAAGAAAAAAGAAAATAGACTGCTCCACGGAGGCAGGGTCCAGTAGTGCACAGGGCTCTCACTATCCTCGATGAGTGTTTCACTTCTCCAGTCTTTAGTTGTTCAACTCAGTACCTCTGTTTATCTAATATCACATGTTGACACTGTTCTGCTCAGCGCCCTCCACTGGCTCCTCACTTCCTTCAGAGTTAAAAGCACCCATACCTTAATAGTGGCCAGCAGACTTGTTTCCCAGGAGCCTCTGCACTCTCAAAGGTGGGGGCTCCCTCTTGCCTCAGGGTCTTTGTAGTTAGTGTTCCCTCTGCCTGGAAGCTCTCCGTCCACTGCTTAGCTCCTCGCCTCCTCCTCATGTCACTCAGTGAGTGTTCCATTCTTCCCTATGCAGTAGTGCAAACTGACCTTGCCCTGCTTTATTATTCTGCACAGCACTTCACACCAGTTCACATATTATGGCTTTATTTTGCTTATTTTTATTGATGATTTTTATATTGGAAAGACCATTTTGATGATAAAGAGGAAGTGTGAAAAACTAAAATTAATCAAAGGAAGGAAAATCTCAAACAGTAAGCTGTCCACATCCAAAGAAAAAATAGTACCAGCTGCAATTTTGATAAACCCAGGTGTATAATTGTACTTTTCAAAACATGGAGGGGTAGGGAGGCAGCAATTTAACATGCAAATAAGACATTAACTTCTTGGGAAGATTATGTACTCAGCTTTGAGAGAGCAACAAAATGACCTTTGTCTGATAACATTCTAATTTATAATTTGATGTTTTTGGCAGCTGGGTCATGAATCTAATTGGACGGTTTCGCAGAGTTTCCGGATCAGAGAACATAAGCCCACGCTGGGAACAGGATTACCATCTGCAGCCCATGGGCAAACTGGGATTATTTTATGAGTATCTTGAAATGAGTAAGTTGTTAAGTGAAGTTTTAAGTGATGTGAAATGTTGGAGCGGGTTCTAGAGTCCAGAACCGTCTTATTACAGAGCCAGATAATTATTTAGTGTATTGCAATGAAGAGGAGTATGTTTTTCTCCACTAGATAAAATTATACAATTAGGCTTTCAAATAAGGAGGCTGTGTGTGTCTTTGTCAGTATTTATGTTGTTTGAAGCTAAATATTTATTACTGAGCAATGAAATGGAATAGTCATCAAAGTACTTCTTCACCATTAGTTCTGAAAACATTCTGACCGTGTTGTCTGAGGATGGACTTAGCAACTATCATTAGATATGATTCAGCTCGGGCTGGTATCATAGGGCACTTAATCTTCCAGCTGCCTAGAAAGGGGGTCGGTGAGGGCTAAAGAAAGACAGTAGAGACTTGTGGACGTAGTACATGGGGGGCTGGAAGGTCAGTGACTCAGAGTGGGCAAAGACAAAGACACTCCAAGCTAGCTACTGTTTATTAGGTGCACACAACGTGTGACTAGGGGGGCTGAGGGGTGACCAGTAATCCTATGTTAATGAGGATTTTGGGTTAATGAGGGTCTTACGTTGATGAGGACGGTAAGGAGAGCATTCTTACAGTGGTAGGTGGGATGAGATAGCAGACTTAATAATTTATCCTTCCCCCAGGTGAAACCTTTCTCTTTCTTTATTACTACTCAGTTCTTGAAGAACCAGGATATCTATAGCTGATGTACTCTTGCATCACAGTATCAGGGGACCATTGAGGCCTCAGCTGTGACCAGAGGCAAAATGGAGTTGTTTCTGTATGCCATAGCTGGCTGACAGGACAAGGTGACATTGGGCCTTAGAGAGCTACTGTCATACTTTATGAAATTATTTTTCCCCAAAAATTACGTAGAATGGCTCTTGACAGGCTGGTGCTCATGCAGGCACAGCTGTTGGCACATGGCCTCTGCACTGACAGCTAAGAAAGCCCACAAGAGCATGCTGCTCACTCAGGGAGGCTCACAGGTCCCCAGACCCCTCTTGCCTTGGACAGCGTATGTGTCTCTTTTGCCCACTGGCTTCCACCTGGTTCCTTAAATGGCCTTGTGAACGGGAAACCATTCTGTTGGTCTGGAATTCAGATTTAGCACACAGGTCACCTTGGTGCTGAATATCTTTGTGTGTTTGTGTGTTTGTGTATTTGTGTGGGCTCTGTTTCCCTTCAGTTTAACCTAATTTTGAGCTCTCTGGTGCTTTTTAAATGGATCTCAAAATAGATTTCCATAGAGAACACCATCTTTTCTATTATGCATGACACGCTTGTATGTAATAGTTAACAATTTACATGTATTGTACCTGTGCCCTTTCAGCTAACCAATGCATTGAACTAGTTTTTTGGGGTTTTTTTTAAGCATAAGAATAGAAAAAGAGGCACAAAATTTTGGTTGACTGGCCTTGGATTTATGCATAGGGATTTTTATGTTTGCAAGGACACTCTTTGTGGTTCCTATTTACAAGTCTGCAGATTGAGGTGGATTTTATTAAATAACATTCTATATATAAGATAATTGCTTTTCAAAGTATACATTATGCACAGAAACACATCTGCTTTCTTTGGTGAGAAAAAGGTTCATTTTGTGGCTTCTTCAGTCAACAATACTCTGCAGCAGCCTGAGGTCTGATTTGAATTTCATTTCTGCTTGTGTTTCGTGATCAGGATTTATTAAGGGTGTAGCTGCAATAAATAATGTAGAAACTATGTTTATTTTATTTATTTTCGAAAGGACTGCAAGACAATTGCCTATTCCAAAATGAGTCACCATTGTAAATATTTCTTTTTGGAGCCTTTATCAGCATTAATAACAACATCCTGGTACAAAGTAGCACTTGTTATTTTAGCCTCCCCAAAAAACACTTGGGAAAAAGTTATCTTTCTGTAGTTGATAAGTCAAATAAATGATGTTGAAAGGAAAAGTTTTATAGTCATGCTTTTGGGGGATATTGACAAGGGTTTATGGAATCATAGGCTTATTAAAATAGTAGTGAACTAAATTTGGCCTCATCCTACCCTATCAGAAAAGGTAGAATAACAACTGATATGGACAGATTTCTAGATAAACTAAATTGTTTTCCAGTTATCCAGTGAATACCTAATGACTTCCTGAGAATCAGTCTGTGATTGGATATTCAGCAGCAGTGTGAAATCTGGCTCTTGTCCTTGACACTAGAAGATAGAATTTCAAATGCCTTTTGAACTATTTTTGTTCCTCAGAATAAGTATTTAGTGCCTCTGGGAGCTGTCTCCTACCACACGGTTTCCTTCCTCCCATCTCTCCATGCTCACTCACTAACAACACCCTCAGCTCCCATGCTGATTAGGACTTCTACTCCTTGAGGGAAGCATCTTCCTGCAGATAACCCTGGAGCTCTCCATCCCTGTGTAGGCCTGGCACCAGCCACCAGCACTTTTCCTTTTTTCCCACTTGACCAGTTCTTCCTGGGCCTCAACAGAACCCTCAGCTTTTCACATCGCTTGATGGCTCCTTTCTTATAGGCCTGAGCTGCCCTTGCTACCATAATCATGTGTGAGCCTCTCTCCTGCTGGCGCGCCTGTTGGAGGTAGCTACCAAGTCCTCTGGATCTCTTAGTCCTCAGCTGGTCCTCAAGAATATTTAAGTGACTCAGAGCATCTGTACAACCTTTAGTTGATCTTACATGCACATGGCCCCATCAGATCCCCACCAAATGCTGTGTGACCTATGATTTTCTTTGAGTAAAAGTTTTATTAGTGAATTTCACACTGTGCTTTAAATTATTGGAGTAACCCTGGGGCATTAGCCAAAATCACCTCCCAGAGTATTAGTCCAGATTATGAGAACTTAGTCATAAAATGGAAGAGGAATACAGTGTGTTGGTGTTAAAATCTAAAAGCCATAGACACTCTTGTTCCACAAGTACTATATGGCACAGTCCCAGTGCGTTGAGAACTTGCTGACATCCTCCCCTGGCAGGTGCCATAAATGAAGTGCACTGAAGTGATGAAGTAGCTCTCAGTTGTCTGTGGTACAGCCCCTTACACCTGTGCCATGTTCACTCAATCTATCGCCGAGCTGTTTTTTAAAAATCTTGGAAACGTGACCGTCACGTATCATTGGCAGTTCGACATCTCCTTGCAGCCACCCCTTCTTTTCATCCCTTCTACATCTCACCTCAGCCCTCTCCCCTTGACTCAGGCCTGCTTTCTTCCCTTCCCTCATCTCTGCTCTGCCTGTCTAAAGCCTACATTGAGCCTCCTCACCTCTGTGGTATGAGCTTTCCCAAATAACAGCAGGTAACCAGGGAGGATTTGCAGGCCTCTTATCCCTTCATTCTGTAAATATTTATTGAGCACTGTATCAATTGCTAGGGAAACCAAGATAAGACTTGGTCAGTGCTCTAACAGAGCTCAGCACTCCTGGCTTGTTAAGAATGCAAATCTGGTTTTCCTCAATCAGGTGACCTTTGAAGTGGATTTTGAAGGATGAGAGGAAGTTAGCTATCTCACATGGTGAATGGAATGGTCATTTTGTGCAGAGAGGCAAACACATTTTAAAGTGCAAATGCACAAAACTGTGATCGCTTCTGAGAATATTGAGTACATAAAGTATGGCTGAAGCAAAGGATCTATAGGTGTAAGTAATAGATCACAAGGGCTGTATCATGATAGGCTTTGTGCTTAGCTGGGGCCTTGTACTTTATTCTTAAATTTGCATCTGTTGGGGGCCGGGGATTTAGCTCAGTGGTTCCACTGCCTGCTTTGCAAGCGCAAGGTCCTGAGTTTTGATGCCTGGTACCAAAAAAAAAAATTGCATCTGTTGGAATATTGGTAAATGAGTACTGTATAGTGTTTATGTTGAGGAAGATCAAGTTACTCTGGCAGCAGATGGAAGGTAATATTTTGGGTGGGGTCCACATTGGGTGAGAGGAAGATAATCCAGGCAGGTGAAGCAGGTAACCCAGACAACGAGTGATAAGCATCTAAATAGAGGCCAGGAGCAGAGGACTAGAATTGAGGGGAGGCAGATTTGATAAGCACTAAAAGGGTGACTCTGTCAGATAAGGAGGGAGACTTGAATATGTGGGGTGGAAGCAGGGAGAAGAGCTTCTGTTGAGGAGATGCTTCCGTGCTGAGTATTTTGGGTATGATTTGTGTACAGGACATCAGAAAGTATCTCTGAGGAGCCATGGGTGAGGCCATTTGGACAGATCAGGCAGGAGTTTCAAAAGAGTTTGGCAGAAAATTGATGCTGAGCCCCTGGAAAAAGGGGACATTAAAAGAGTAAATAGGAGAAGTGGGGCCCACAAAGAAAAGAAAGAGCAAAACAGGTGGAGGACCAAGCCCAGCACAGTGGTATAAACGCACAGAAGGCTTGGAAGGTGTTAATATTTGCTGAAGAGGGATTTGAAAGTAACAAAAGGGAGAATAATGAAAAACGGGGGAAATATTAGAGCTAAAGGCCCTGTTTAATTGCTAGAGCTGAAGGGAAAAGTAGGAAAAGTACTGTGCCAATGTAGTAGTTTTTGGGACATTCAACTTAGAACTTGACTTAGCTTTTTAACATTATTAAGTAAAACAAAAATGAAGAAAAAACGTGTTCCATAGAGGGGAGTATTTGGTCACGTTGGAAGTTACTTAGTGATCAAATAAACAGAACTGAAACGTGAGTGGGCTCTGGAACATGCAGTTGCCTACAGGGTTAGCAAGAGAGAGTCAGTGCAGCAGGCTTCAGTAGGATGTGGATTCTATGGAGGGAGTGAGTGGTGGAGACTTCCTTCAAGAAACTTGACAGCTGAGCCGGGGATTTAGCTCATTGGTTCCCCCGCCTGCCTTGCAAGTGCAAGGTCCCGAGTTTGATTCCCCGTACTAAAAAAAAAAAAAAGAAACTTGACAGTGAAGTGAAAAGGGAAATCTTAGCATTATAGAATCCTGACAAAAGTTTCGGGCAAGGGATATTTTTGTCAATTGGTGTTTTTTGCCTTGCTCAAATGATCGGTTTTTAGTTGTTCTTGGCTTCAGAAGATAAAGTTCTTACTTAAATCTCAGAACAAACTATACCACGTTGGGGTTTTTTTCTGGTGCTTTTAAATATAAAATTTTTAATCCATCTGGAATTTATTTTATTTTATTTATTTATTTTTGGTACCGGGGATTGAACTCAGGACCTTGTGCTTGCCAGGCAGGTGCCGGCACCACTGAGCTAAATCTCCAGCCCCATCTGGAATTTATTTTAAGGTACAAAATGATGACCCTGTACCTATTTTTCCAATGATTTAGCTAGTTCTTTAAGTACTTGGAACCCACCAATTATGATATACTTAAATCTCATGAGTATTTTTATCTCTGCTTTAAGCCATTTTGTTTAATTCATACTATCTATCCATGCACTAGTTCTGCAATTTTAATTATGTAGTTAATAAACTTGCTATCTCCTAGAGATGATCTCATTTTATTATTGCTTTCCAAAATGTCAATATCATTAGTGGACTCATTCCTCTTCTTGATTTACCTGTCCAGTTGTTTATACACTTTAGCATCACCTTTCAGCTCTAAAAATTTTTTGAATGAACTGTATTTGTATTAGAATTCTAAATTATTCTATGGAGAAAAATGTGATAAGTTCCCAAATTTGAGTGCGGAGTCAAGAGTGGGGCACATCCTTCCATTCATCATTGTTTTTTTCTTAAGTCAGTTATCCTAACAGTCTTAACATGTTTTGTTAATTCATGTCAAAGTAGTCTGCTTTCATTATCATTATAAATGGGATCTTTCCTCATTTGGGTTTATCATATTTATATTCCTGATTTCTGGCCTCTCGAACTCAGAAGGTCTGGCAGCATTGCCCCTCCCTCCCCAGCAGGATGCCCTTGCTCTTTAGCCGCTGACTCTGACCCACTCCCTACCTTTCTCTTCCTACCTGGGCCCCCAGGGTGATGGGTTTGAGACTTGGGAGACTCAGACACAGGCTATCACTAGTTGTTGCTCTTGCTGCTGACTCTGTGGCCTGACCACTGCTGGTCTTTGGTTGTCTGACCCTTCTGAATATGACCACTCCTGCCTGGCCTGTGCAGCTTACCAGATCCTTCCAGCCCTGTCTTCTTCTGTAACAATACTTACCCTCTCAGACCAGAAGCAAATGCTAGTTCCTCCTACCTAGTGACACCCACCATAACCTTGCCTTCCTGCCCCAGGCTCTTCCCTGCTCTGTATCTAAGCAATGGGCTTTTTTCTTTTTAGGTACCTGGGATTGAACTCAAGACCTTGTGCCTACAAGGCGGGCGGCAGAACCACTGAGCTAAATCCCTAGCCCCAGCAATGGGCCTTTTAAAGGGGCCTGTAAGTTTTCCTCTCATCCACAGTGATAGTTACAAACTCTCTAATGGGCTACCTGTTGGAAGGGAAGGGCCTAAAAGAAACATTTATTTTCTAGGTCTTTGGCTTTCTTGCTTTCTTCTTGCTCTCTATGGTATAGCTACTCTCAAATTGGCTGCCCTACTTATATTAGGTCATGTAAATTTCAAATAAAGAAAAAGAACTTCTAAGCCACCACTACTTTCTTGACTTACTGTGACCATGTGGATTGCAACAGCATCGCAATAGAGATTCTAAAGGAGGATTATGACTTAGCAAGACCCTTTTGATCCATGTATTTGTGTTCTTATTGCACTTGCATTCACCGACTTACAGGGATCTGTTTCTGTGCTGCTTTTCAGCATATTCCCTCCAACATTCTCTAAGCATAGCTTCCCAGTGGTACTTTTGTTTTAACCCTAAGTCACAAACCATCTGCCAATATCCTCTTAGCTCAGCATTAAGAATGAATAACAATGTCTCAAGTTCATTACCATTAAACATTTTTCAATATATTGTTCCTATTAAATATGTCTATGTAAACGAAATAAGCTGTAATTAGTTGTCTTTTGAGAGATTTCATATTTGTGTTTTGTTTAAATTGTTTCACTGTTGAATGGCTGTTATTGAACATGGATGTTTTCTCTTTGAGACTGAGTTCTTTGCCTTTGTCTTTATAAGAGTAAAGGAAATGTGTTGTCTGCCCATCCACCACTCCATGATGTGTGTCCGTTCCATTGACAGTTGTTCAGTTTGGGTTCGTCACCTTATTTGTGGCCTCTTTTCCACTGGCTCCCTTGTTGGCTCTGGTGAACAATATATTGGAAATAAGAGTGGACGCATGGAAACTGACTACCCAGTTTAGACGCATGGTGCCAGAAAAAGCCCAAGACATCGGCGCATGGCAGCCCATCATGCAAGGAATAGCAGTTCTGGCTGTGGTGACCAATGTGAGTAGACATAGGCTGCACAGGGTGGAGACCTTGAAAGGCCCCAAGATGCATTAGGGCTGCCTCTGGAATCAAATGTTTTTTTAAATGGGAGGATGGTGCCAGGTCTATCATCTATACAAACAATATAATTATATACTGTGGAATTCAAGTGTTATTCTTTTAAAATTTTGTTTATAACTATTATTCTTGATGTACCAAGTCAAAACCTCCTACAGAGGCACCACTGTTGCCCATTTGCTAAAGTTTTTATTCAACAGAAATATAGTAATAATGGTAATAAGTACTAACACTTCTAATCCTCAGATGACTATAAGAGGAGTTACCAAAAACTGCTTTCATAATGTAGGTAGAAATGTGTTCATTTAGTATTTCAGGACTGTAAAATAAGACCATTCCACCATATGTTACTATATGTTCCAAAATACCAACTTACTGTAATAACCTTGATGAAGTATAAACACTTTGCACATTTCGGATTGTGTGTTACCCTCCTTGTCTCTAGGGCAGGAGTTCTTAAAATGGCATGTTAAGGATGAGTCTCAACACTCTTTCCACCCTGCCACTAGGCCTCTGCTAGCCATACTCTTGGCTGAAGCAGCTTCGTGCCCTGCATCCTGGCTGTGAGGGGACACACTTAGTTGTTTACAGCCTGTATTAATTGAATGTGAACAGTCTTTTGTTTTGTTTTGGTACCAGCTAACAGAGTTCTCAGGCATAGCAATCTTCATGCCAGCTCATCAGAGGACCTCCTTCCCTGGAAATAGCCTTAAAACCAGTGCCCTCTGCCCCCATAGCTCACTGCCAATCTCACCCAGTCAGCTTCCCCAACGAAATTATTTCCCAGTTTTAATTTCTAAACACACACTTGCCCCAAGTCCTCAGCCTTTTCTCCTTGCCTTTGGGCTCAGCTCTGGAGAGGGAAGTTCCTCAGTACTTCAGTCTGTAGATTCAGGTACATCTGAGCTCCCCTTCCCAGCACTGTGTGATCATGGACCAGGCCTTAGCACTTCACAGACTTATTTTATCATCTGTAGAATGACTACCTCCCTGCACAGAGTGGTTAGTGAGTTCACTGAGTTAATGCATAGAACGCATGGAGCCTAGTCATTATTGAATGTTAGCTGATACTTTATTTTCTTTTTTTTAAAGTTTATTTTATTGGTACATTTTAGGTGTACACTATAATGACATTCATCATTGGAAATTTGCACCTTTACATAATCTCTCCTGGTTCTTATTTTTCCCCCTTCCCTCCCTTCAACCCCTCCATCCCTCTCTATTTACAAAGACTTTGTTTCCATTTTTTCATTTTCTCTTATTAATTCCATTCCCTTCTTTCCTTTCGCCTACCCCTCCCACTTCCCCTTTGCCCCTTTTCTTCCTATTTCACATTATCTATTATACCTTTTAGTCCTTACACTTTCAGTTTCTCACACTAGAGAAACTATTTGGTATTTACACATGATATTTTATTTTCTTTATTCAATGTCATTAACAATGACTCCATGAGGACTCTGACATGTACCCCAACTAAAGGCACAAGAAAAGTTATGTGAAACCCTCCACCCCAGAACCCTCAAATTATCTGAATTGCATGCTGTCTCTACTTTTTGGAGAAAGTTGCAAATCACACATAAAAACCAACTTACAAGGTATGTTGGTTTCCTCTCACCCAAATAGCATATACCGTACCCTAAACATCCACTGTGCTTCCATATGAAGACAGATGTTCAGAAATATGACAGCAAGGCCTTTCAAGTTCCACAGTCATAAAGAATGGATCTGTCATGTTCAATATGCTATAGTACACTAAACAGAGCAGGAACGTGGACTTGTGTGATTTAAGAAAATTTTCAGCAGTAAGGTTTGAAACTAAAAGGGTTTCTGTTTGACCTTCAGCAACCAGAAAATGTAATTGACTCATCCTCCCCATTCCTCAAGCATTCTGGTTTGATTGTATCAGGCACCTTTTCTCAGAGCCCATGCCATGGCTCCATTCCATTAGCACAGATGGAGGATTGGCTGCGATTACAAGGCTTCTCCAACTGGGTCTGTGTACAGACACACACACTGGCTAATTGGTGCTACTGGGTCTTATCCAATAGTTGTTTTTTCTTCTAACTTACCCTAGGAAAACCGCTTATTAGATTTGTCATTGATTAAACTATGGATAACCTTTTTTTCCATATTACTAGGATTGTTAACACTTCCATGATGCAGTGTGCACACATACACGCGGCTATGTATGTAAATATGTATGCAGGCATTGAATGTGTATGTGTCCCCTTGCATATAGGACCTCGAGCCCTCAAATACCTACTGTGTATGTCCACAGCCTAATGTACGTAAGAGGAAAAGAATAGCCATCAGGGGTGAGAGTGGGCATTCAGTAGGAGTTTGGTGTAAAATCACCCCTTTTAAAGCTGCTGGTTCAATAAATAAGCTGAATTGACATTGTTGTATCTGCCAGAGCATCTGCTATTGAAGACCAATTTTAATTTATTTTGCTATAAATGGAAAACTGTGTGCAGAACAGCATGAGAAATGAAGCACACTGCATTTATTTGTGCTCTTGCAGCACATCTCTCCAAGCAGCTCGGTTGAAGGGGAAAGGTATCTTGTCAGAAGACAATAGACTTATCTTCCTTGTTGGAATTATTGTAGCTTCCTGAAGCACATGTGCAGGTGATTTTACAAAAAGATAACAGTTGAGTTAATAATACCAGCAAATTTAATCTAGTCGAATCTGGAAAAGGACACAGTATTCTTGCCTCACTTCATCACCAAAAGGCAGTCACACACACAGACTTTTTTACATTGAAGGAAATGACAAAATTGGTTCTTGTGGGGGAAATTTGCAGTAGAAAACCTCCTTAATTGTTTTTCTTGCTTTGCCTGAGATCTTGTTTGTTGGTTTGTAGTCTCACTGTGTTTAAGCCATATGTTCAGATGAGTACTATTAAAAATCACGTTGAGCCAGAAACACGTCTGTTCTTCTGCTTGTTTAATGACTCATTCACTTTGTTTATTCACATAGAATTTGGTTTCCAGTATATTTTCTCCATCCCTCAAGTATTACAAATGGGAGAATTTAAAGCCCAAATTAAAGAATTTTAGAAAAAAATTTATGGAACTCATAATAGCTTTGTATCCTAATGGATGTCTGACAGACACAGGTTTATGATGACTGTTTATTACTTTTATACAAAAATATACTAAGGTTTTCTGTATATAGCTAAATACAGTTTTCATAACTGTATCCATTTAATCTTTGGCAAGTTTGGAGGCATAGATATTAGATCTAACAAAACTGACATCATTTCTTGACTTTGTAAATGGATCAACCTCAATATAATTTCTTTTTACCATAATATTTTATGTAAAAAAATTCTTATTCTCTAATGAAGTAACAAGTATGTACTGAATTTAAAGTAAATCAGTCTAAGCCAGGGATTTAGCTCAGTGGCACTGCATCTGCCTCATAAGCGCAAGGTCCTGAGTTCGATCCCTAGTACCAGGAAAAAAAAAAAAAAAGTAAATCAGGCTGTAGGTTGACTTGTCTAAACAAGTCTAGATACTATGAGGGTAGGGGAGTATGAATTTGAAGCTGTCATTTAAATTTAGATGAGAAAATATATTTTATGCAGCTTAAATTCTGTTTTTATATAAAAACAAAAAATCGATTTTGCATCACTCTACAAAGGAATTGTATAAAGTCAAAGTATTTTCAAAATATTGGCCTTAGTTTTATCTACAAAAGTGTTAAAATTATAGAGTTTCTAAGGTTGACAATTCTAACTTTGGAAAAAAATACTAATTTACATAGTATATACAAGGCCTCTTAAATTCGCCACATTACCCCAGTTCACAGTTGTTTTGAGTAAATGGTATTATATTTCAAAGCAGAGGAAGCAGCTCTCAGGCCTCTGCATTTCAACTGCATTGAAGACCAGAAAGAAATACTCTAAATTTTCTGCTCAGAGACCACTGGGTTAAGTGAAATACACCAGACTAAGAAAGTTAAATAGTGTGTCTTTTCTAGCATATGAGGAAACTAGAAAAAATATTTTTAAAGACTTGAGGTAGAAGGGAGACTATGAGAGAAGAGGAGGGGGGTTCGGCAGGAAAGGGGAAGAGGGGTAACGGAAGAGGGGAGGATCAGAGTGTGTTATGTGCATGTACAGATTTGCCAGAATGAGACCCATTACTCATATAACAGCCACTAATTTTAAAGAATTACTGCCCATGGGTTTTTAGGACATATATACATTTCATACTTAAAGAATTATGATTTCTGTATATTTTATTAAAATCAACATGATGAAAACAGTAACTCTAGCATATTTGTTAGCCATAACTGTAATAACTCTAAATTAATGCTTGCTCAATTGTTTTCCTCCCTAAATAGGCCATGATCATTGCCTTCACATCAGACATGATTCCCCGTCTGGTATATTACTGGTCCTTCTCCATCCCTCCCTATGGAGACCATGCTGACTACACTATGGAGGGCTACATCAACAATACTCTCTCTATCTTCAACATCTCGGACTTCAAAGACAAAAGCAAGCCAGAGTCATACTCTGGGCTTGGTAACTATACCACATGCAGGCAAGTTCTGCCTTACCTGCTTTAATTTTTTAAGGAATTCACTTCACTTGAGAAGAGCTTTTCTTGCGATGTCATTCTATCTGGTGTTACTTCAGTTGCTAGAGATACATTTTCCTATAGCTTTCTTTTCTTTTTTTTTTTTTAAGAGAAGGAAAATGTATTGGGGAAATAGGAATGGGGAATAAGAGTAGCTCCTGGGAGACAGGTGGGGTCCTAAATGGGTTGCCCCCGTAGCTTTCTTTGCAATCAGACTAAACAAAGATACTAAAATTTATAAGATTAGGGCTAGAATTTTCAAACCAAACCAGAAAAGCAAGATTGAGAGTTCCAAGTGGTTACAGAGGGACTGATCCAGGAGAAAGTTTTATATATTATAAATGAAGAAACTCCAAGAGTTCTAGAAGCCAAGATAATTTAAGTGCCAGGACTAATTTGTATATAAGCACAAACTGAAGCTCAGAGATAGTATCACCCTCACTTAATAAATACCTAGCAGTATTTTCTAAAAGTATTCCAAAGTTCTCTGCATTGGTTTTAATGGCTGGTAGTATTTTCTTGGGTATATACTAACTAAAGTACCAGTTGATAGTTTGTTGACTACAGGTCATAGATTTTTCTCATATCTTTAACTTATCTAAAGGAGACTTTAAAATTCATTTAGTCCAACTCTTCAAAGCCTTCACTGATTCAGATTTTCAATAACACAACCCATAAACCAGAAATAAGCCCAGAACAAATGTTTCCAAGTTATATGTAGTAGTGCCACTTTAGAATTCTACACTGAATCTGTCTATTATTACTTTACATAAATCTCATCAAAAAATCCCTTCTAGGTCTGATAGATTATGGGCAAGAAATTAGAGATGTACTACCTGAGAAAGGTCCTCTGACAATAGTAACACGTGGCAACTCACAACAAGGAATTAGGTAGAAAAATTCTAACAAGTAGGCCATGTCCTCAATAGGGAGCAATGGGCCCATGGCTGAACCAATTCTCATGATACCATTTTATAAATAAATTTATAAACATGATCCTGAAAATAGGCTAAATGGTTTTATACTCTTTTCAGAAAGCAAGGAAAAAGCTGTGGTCCCACAATTTTTTTAAATTTTCCTCTCTTATAAAGATAGATTCTTTCACAGATGGAATCCATTATTAGCATCATTTTCTGATTATGTGTTTAATGAGTTATTGCTGGAGTCATTGTTTTCAGAGTTTTATTGCCAAATTGAGCTGTAGGAGAAAATTTATGTGTTGTCCAATTTAAAAGAACATTGCATCAAGTATGACTTTTTAAAAAAAAAAAAAAAAGACTTAAAAATAGAGCTCTTGTTTACAGTATTTGATCAAAAAAATTGCCTCCCTAATATGACTGTTTTGTTTCCAGATATCGTGATTTCCGAAATCCACCTGGACACCCACAAGAATATAAACACAACATCTACTACTGGCATGTAGTTGCTGCCAAGCTGGCTTTTGTCATTGTCATGGAGGTAGGAAAAGTATATTTGAAATAGTTTTAAGGCCACATATTTGTAGATCTTATATTATACGTATTACCAATTCAAATTAAAATGCATGTTCTCTTGGAGCTGGGGGTTTAGCTCAGTGGCACTGTGCCTGCCTTGCCAAGTGCAAGGTCTTGAGTTCGATCTCTGGTACCCCCCAAAAAATGTATGTTTTCTCTTTTTTTTTGTACCAAGGAACGAACTCAGGACCTTGCACTTGCAAGGGCAGGCACAGCACTACTGAGCTAAATCCCAGGCCAAAATGTATGGTTTCTTATTGCATGCTAAGAATTATTTTAGGAAATGTATTAATTTGGTTTGGCATATTCATAATGCTCTAAGTGAAATTTTTTTTTTTTGCTTTTTCATTTTTTTACTTTGTTCTATTTTGTGGTACTGGGGATTAGACCCCAGGGCCTTCACACTGAGCTACATCCCCAACCCTTTATTTTGACACAGGGTCTGGCTAAGCCACTAAATTGCCCAGGCTGGGCTTGAACTCCTTCATCAGCCTTCCACAGTGCTGGGATTACAAGAATGCACCACCACGCCTGGCTTGGGTGTCTGTTTTAAAAGTTAAAAACCAAGTGCCTTTTAAAATTTGGGACACCGAGGAGTGTGTTGGACTGGGAAAGAGCTTACGATGTGACCTGTCCACCCAGGAAACTTTTATTACTGTGATAATTTTATTCATTCAGATAATTTTATTCTTATTCTTCAACTGTTGCATTTTTTATAATACACCAACTTCTTACAGTAGGTTTTACATCCCTAAAATTAAGTAGCTGTGAAAAATAACCAAGACAGGTATAAATTGTCAGTTGATCTAGCCAACTTCTTTTCTAGAGTGACTACCAAATTACAAAGCCTCAGAATTCATGTGGAAAAATAACCCCTTTTGTTTACGCCACTTATAGGTTAAGTTTTCTTTTTTTAAGTGGTACACGTTTGCAATTTAGTCACCTTGGGGAGTGGGTGCCTGTACATAATGCAGCTTGATTCTTTCTTAATCCCCTTCCCTTCTGTCTGCCTCCCTCCTCCTCTAAATCCCCTTTCCCCCATTTCTGTTCTAGTTGATCTAATTAATCTTATCTATCTCATGTCATGACATACAACGTTCACATTCATTTAGGCTGTTAGGGTCCTGTACGTGGCATACCTTGATACTACTTGTTTCCCCTTCCCTTCCCACTCTTCTCTTGCCCACATTCTCTGGAACCCCTTCCCATCTGCAAGAGATCTGTCCCTTATCTCCTTCCATCCATCCTTTATTGTGCTGTTTGTCCTTTGCCTTACTCAGATACTATATGGTATTTAAGTTTGTGCGTCTAATTTATTTTACTCAGCATTGTATTTTCCAGGTGCACCCATTTTCTTAAAAATATCTCAAATGTGTCCTTTATAGCCAAGTAGTATTCCATTGTGTATAGATATCACCTTTTCTTTATCCAGTCATCTGTTGATGGGTATACGGGCTGCTTCCAGGATTTGGCTTTTATGAGTTGTGCTGCTGTAAACATGGGTATGCATGTATCAGCATAGTGTGATGTCTCTAGCTCTTTGGAGAAGTTACCTAGAAGGGGAGTAGCTGGATCGTATGGAATTTCTAATTTCAGTTCTTTGAGAAATCTCCATACTGATTTCTGTAATGGTTGTCCTACTTTACATTCCACCAACAGTTGTAGGAGGGTTCTTTTTTCACTGCAGTCATGCCAATATTTGTTATTCTTTGAGTTTTTTGATGATTGCCTTTCTTTCTGGTATTAGATGGAATCTTAGCATTGTTTTAATTTGCATCTCTCTACTGGTCAGAGATGTTGAACATTGTTTCATGTATTTGTTGGTTACTTATACTTCTTCCTCAGAGAAGGATCTTACAACTAAATTAAACACTAGTCAACAAATTCTGAGGCTTTACAGTTGGGTTAAAAAAAAAAAATCATGGAAGCAGAAAATGGGTAATGGAAGAGAGGAACATTTTCTAGAATAGATGAAAACATCAGTTCAGAGCTGAAAGCCTGCTCTATATCAAGCAGAATAACTGTTAAAGAAATCCACACTTAAACATAAGGAAAACGCAGCACACCAGAGAAATGAGATAAATGACTGACAAAAAATTGAAATTAGAGCAAGAGTAGACTTTTTAATAGCAACAGTGTTGGCTGTGGTAGTGCACGCCTATAATCCCAGCACTTGGGAGGCAAGCCTGGGCTATATAGTGAGTTCAAGGCCAGCCTGAACTACATAGTGAGACCCTGTAGAAAAACAAAAAGAAGCAACAGTGAGCCCAAAAGAGTGTTTTATTAGTCAGCTTTTCCACTGATTTCTGGGACAAAATATCTGACACCCTCAAATTAAAAGAGAAGAGATTTACTTTGGCTTATCATTTCAGAGGGTCCAGTCCATGGTTAGCTGACTCCAAGGCACTAAGATCATGGCAAAGGGCCATGGCTGAGGGATGGTGTTCACCTTATGGTGGCCAAAAGCCAAAGGAAAGAAGGGAAGAGCTCGGGCAAAAATACACCCTTCCACATCACTCCCTTTGACCCTACCTCCTAATAGCAAAAATTTATCAGCATTTCAATCCATTGATGAGTATAGTGTTCCCATCATCCAATCAAAAACCCCATCTCTGAACACTTGAGACTTCTGGGTGATATTTTAAATCTAAACTGTAACAAATATAGTCAGACATCTTCAAAATGCTATAGAAGGTAGTACAAACCTAGAATTACAACAAAATTTTGAGTAACTGAAAAATCATTCCACAGTGAACATACCAGGCTTTATGGTTTTGTATGAAAGTGCTACCTTTTGGAACAGATCATTTCAATCTTATAGAGACTGGGGAAAAAAGCAAATAAATCCTCTCCAACTCATTCGGTGATGCTAAGTCTAGGTCTAAAATCAGACAAGAATAAAGAAAGAAGGAAAAATTAAGGGCAATCTCACTCATTTCATGGATGCAGAGATCATTTTAGAAAGTGTAAACTAAATCTAGCAATGTATTTTTAAAAGACAGCATCACACTATGTTGGCTTTAACCCAGAAATGGAAGGTGACATAACAGAAAATCCATTTATCTGTAAGTATTGCCTTCTTCAGGAATAGATGAAAGAAAAAAATACCTCTTTTAGCCAGGCGTGGTAGCACACGCTTGTAGTTCCAGCACTTGGGAGGCTGAGGCAGGACGATCACTGCAAGTTTGAGGCCAGCCTGGACTACATAGTGAGTTCAAGGCCAGCCTGAATTACAGGGTGAGACCCTGTCTCAAAAACCAAAACAAACCAAAAAAAACCTCTTTTCTCCACCCTTACCCTTTTTCCTCCTCCTCCTCCTCCTGCTCCTCATCATCAAAGGAACCAATTTCTCTTCATCCTATGTACCTCAGTAGTTCTGCTCCATTTCTCTTCTTCCTTGTGGCCAGTACCTTTGAAAGAGGGGTCAGTGCTTACTGTCTGTTATTCTTCCTCTTCCTCTTTCTTTATATGCCCACTCTAGTGATGCTTTTGTCCCTACCACTTCACTGAAAATGCTTTTTCCACAGTTCCCAACAGCCGTCGTGTCGCTAAGTTCCTAGGATCCCTTCTGCACCATTATGTTACTTAACTTACAAACAACATTTGACAGAACTGATTACTCAGTCCTCCTTGAAACTTCCTTGGCTCCTAGGGAAACATATCTTTTAAAAGTAGTAAAAGAGATAAGGAAAGTCATTATATCATGATCATGAGGTCAATTCAGCCAAAAGAAATAGCCTTTATAAATATATATGCACCCAGTATTGGAGCATCTAAATACAGTAGTACCTCAGTTCACGAACGTAATTCTTTCTATGATTCTGGTCACAAACTGAATTGGACAAGAACCGAATCAAATTTAGTGGTTAGGTTCAATGTTGGCCTTGTTGGGGCAATTTGATTTGGTTCGTGACCAATTTGGTTTCCAACCAGAATCATAGAAAGAATTAAGTTCGTGAACCAAGTTACTACTGTCTGTAAATCAGATATCAGTATACTTAAAGGCAGAGACAGACCCCAATGCAATGATAGTCATGGATTTTAACGCCCTACTTTCAGTGCTGGACAGATCATTCAGACAGAAAATCCATAGAAAAACAGAATTATATTGCACCTGAGACCAGATGGACCTAACAGACACCTACAGGACATTCCATTATGCCTCAACAAATTTTTTTAAAACTTTGCAAAGGGCTGGGGATTTAGCTCAGTGGTTCCGGCACCTGCCTTGCAAGCTCAAGGTCCTGAGTTCAATCCCCGGTACCAAAAAAAAAAAAAAAAGAAAACTTTGCAGAGTTTTCAAATACATGGAAATTAAACGTACTCCTGAACAACCAGAGGAACAATGAAGAAATTAAGAAGGAAATTTTAAAATGTTTTGAAAAAATGATAGTAAAACAGAATGTATCTAAATCTATCACATGCAACAAAACCAATGTTAAGACATAAAGTTTATAGCAGTAAGCACCTGTATCAAAACAGTTGAAAAATCGTGGGGTTTGGAATGTAGGTGAGTGGGAGACCATTTGCCTAGCATGCAAAAGATCCTTAGGTTTGATCCTCAGCACTTGGGAAGAAAAGGCAGAAAAATCAACTTACCCAAGGTGAATAGAAGGACAAAGTTCAGAGCAGAAGTAAACAAAATTGAAATTAAAACAGCAGCACAAAAGAATGAAATGAACTTCTTTTGAAAAGATAAAATTGGCAAACCCTTAACTAGAATAACTAAGAAAAAGAGAATACTTAACTCTGGGAAAAGATAGTTTCAACACCTTCAACACTTTTATTCAACATAGGATTAGAAATCCTAGCAAGAACAGTCAGGCAAGAGAGAAAAGGAGCATCCAAATTGAAAAGAGAGAAGGCAGATTCTCATTGTTTGCAGATAATAAGATCTTGCACCTGTATTTGTTTAAATAAAATGAAATGTGATGACAGAAGAAATACACAAATTTTAGAACACCTACACTTTACCAAAATTGAATCATGAAGAAATAGGAAACCTGAACACAGTAATACTGCATAATGAAATTGAATCAGTGATAGGAATTCTCCCATCAAAGAAAAGCCCAGGACCAGATGATGTCACAGCTCAGGTCTACCAGACATTTAAAGAACACCAATTCTTAAATTATTCCAAAAAATTGAGCAGAAGAAAATCTTCTAAAATCATGAGATCAGCAGTTACCCTATCAAACACAGACAAGGATACAACCAAAAGAAGAAAGCTACAGGCCAAAATTCCCAATTATCGTAGATATAAAAATTTTCAACGAAGTGTTACAAATTGATCTACAGCACATTTAAAAGAGCATTACGTTGTAGGTGTCGAGTACAGCAATGGGCAGCTGACCGACACAATAGCTGATAAAGTACTAATCACTAGAATATATAAGGGAATCACTAGAATATATAAGGGACTCAGTATCAAAATATTTAAAAACCTCACAAATAATCCATTTGTGATAATCAAGTAGGCATAGCCACACTAATCCCCACTTACATGTTCTTTCCTACTAATTGAATAATATCTAAATTCTAAAGTAACAAATTATAGCTGCTGGGCAGAGCCATGCTATCCTTGCATTGTGGTGTCAGAGATTGGCCGTAAGCAGGACGTGTACGCGTCCCCCACCTTGGCCAGGTACCCTGCCATTGTGACAAGCAGCAGTGAAGCGACTCCGTGCTTCCTTCCCAGAGTGCCTGACGCTTTCCCTCTTCTCTCCTACAGCATGTCATCTACTCTGTGAAATTTTTCATTTCCTATGCAATTCCAGATGTATCAAAAAGCACGAAGAGCAAAATCAAGAGAGAAAAATACTTAACCCAGAAGCTGCTTCATGAGAGTCACATAACAAAAAACATGGGCATTATAATTCAGAAGATGGCAGAAGTGGTGGATAACAACTTGCGACCAAAATCAGAATAAGAGCTTTATGTTCTGAGAAGTGCTTTAAAGAATTTAGTTCTGGGGCCAGGGATTTAGCTCAGTGGTTTCGCTGCCTGCTGCGCAAGCGCAAGGACCCAAGTTCGATCCCCGGTACCAAAAAAAAAAGAATTTAGTTCTGTCAAAATGTAATGAATCGCTAATGAGAATGTTTAAGTTAAATCAGTCTGGCAAATATGAGTCTTAACTGTTGCCATTTTCATACATTTTTCAGTTTCAGCCAGTGATGCAAGAACTGCCAAATGTAAAAGTCAGATCAAGAAGGGCATAAAACTTCTCACCTGGAAAGCCTAATGTTACCTTTTTTGATAAATTGGAATTCTAGTAACACAGAGAAAGTCTTTTTATGGTGCTTAAAAGCCACCCCTTGTAAAGCAGAACAGATTTTTCTCTTTGATTACTTTTATTCCTTTCTGTTCTCAAACATGGTCTCCTTTATTTTTAGGTAATGTTTCATTTCTTCACCTCACCAAATCTGTTCCAGAGTTGACTTTTCTTTTCAGTACCATCGTTAAAGATGAGATGTGCTTCCACCTTAATAGCTTTTGTGTGATTAAAAAATAGCTCAGTGGCAAAGAGATTCAAGAATTCACAATATTTAGGTGTATTATCATATCTGCACAGAAAGGAAGCCCTAATTTAATAAGAAATAGATTCAGTCTTCATTCTAGCCTCTTTCTATCTCAAAGAAATACTCTTAATTGGAATGAAGATAGCAGAGTCTTGAAGCATGTTTGTATTAATCCACAGTGACACCTTTTATCTGCTAGGAGCATTCCTAGAATGTTCTGTGCCTAATTAATGTTGACTGCTTTGTAGATCTCAAGGGAATAAGATGACAAAAGTAAGGAAAGTTACAGAATTGTAACTCACATTGATCTGGATAATTAATTTACCTCTTCTAAAGATATGTAGTTTCTTGGAGGAAAAAAATGATAACTGAATGATTAAAATTACATTTTTATCAACGTAATGGTCTAGAAAAGATAAGCCCCTCAGTTTCCTACCAGTTGACTTTTCCTCTCTAAATACAGGAGGTGCTTTATTACAAATCACCAAGCGCCTTAGTGAATAGCTCACGATGTAGCCCTTGTGGCATGATGATACTGTGCATGGTCAAGGAGATAGCAAGTGTCCTAATTGTGAGCCAGTCCTGTGAACCTTGTGTGGGGAGGAATCCTGTATGACTCTTTCTGTATGCCAAAGCGATAAATATACCAAAGCACCTGCCATATCATGACTGTGGCTTCCTTGCACCATCCAACCTCCTACACTGAGCCCAGTTACTTGTTGATAATTATATGCTTGTAGTAGAGATGAGAGGACACCCACATTGTTGCTCATCATGGAAGAAGACTGGACTAGACTTGAATGTCCAGCCTCTTCTAAGGCTCATCAGGTAGTTAAGGGTAACAGAGGAGGATGGTCACAAACCCTGTCATTTGGAGGTCACTTCCTGCTGACCTCCTGCACCACTGTGCATATCTTGCCCTCAGTTTACTCACCCTAGCAGCTTGCTGTGCTTTACCTCCTTATAAGTGTCAGTTAACAGGGACGCACCTCTCCCCTTTGACCTGCACTAAGTGCTGGATGGGGGAGGAGGCAGTTTGCATCATGTCCGTGGATGGGCCCCGCTACCCTCTGGGATGCTATTAAATCCTCGGGTGCCCCAGGAGCCAATCTGTCCCAAACCTAACAGCAAAGTGAAACATATTTCAGTGACCAGACTCAAAAGGATTGTGTAATAAAGTAGCTTAACTCCAGATCACAACTGGAGTTGTACCTGCCATGAATGTTTTCAACTCTTAAAAAAAGTGTGTATGTGCCATATGCATAATGTGTATAATTCATCAAAGCAGTATTCTGGGCTTTTGAATTGTCCCAGTGAATCAGGGACATTTCACTACCTTTCTTGATAATGTATGTTAACAGTGTGGTCAGAGTGCCCAGGACAGGTCCCATGAGGCCTACCTCACTGGGAAGGAAACATAAGTGTTTTCCCACCAGAGAGAATGGTGTTGTTTCCACCTGTCCTAGAGGGGCCGCCACTGTGCCCTTGCCCAGCCTCCGTGAGACAGCTCCCGAAAGTGTGTGTCATTTCTTATTACCTCTCCTCTTCTCAGAAGTGTGTAACTATCTCCTAGTGTTAGATTTGGCAATTTCTCAATGTCTTTACCTTATCTCTTTGTATATATGATAGATTTTAAAAGAAATGTGCATTTATGTGTTCTTAGCCCCAGCTGAGAGATTCCTCTTCATAGTTTAAAAAGTGCTGCTGTGGACAGGAGTGAAAAAAATTCCTCTACATTTCAAAAAGCAGCAAAGTGACACCCGACACTGCCAACATGCCCAAAGAGCTAAGTTGCCATGGAGACCCAGGTAGCTCCTATGATGTCAGCAGTCTTCCTGTGAGTGGGATGTAGAGTGGGGAACTATGGGGAGTTCTGCCTGCAGACTAGAGGGCTGCATCTGCAGGGAGGAGTGGAGGCGGCCACCTGCACACAAAAGCCATGGGGCATGGCAGTGGGCCTGAGAAGGAAGATCTGGCCCTCAACCTGTCCAGTATTAACCACTAGAGAAATTTTAGCTTTCCATGTGTAATGCCTGTGAATTTTAGTGGATTGAAGCATTAGACCAAATACTCAGGGTTTTTTTTCTTTAAACATCCCTCAGATGTTTTAAATATTTCATCAGAAATGGAAAGCCATCATTTTTGTTGTAAAACTAAACTAGACAATCTTATAAAATACTTGTCACCAAACTTTCCCCTTTTTATTGCACATATATCTTGAATTTCATAGAACATTAATTCACAATAGGGGACAGAAAGTGATCTGTTGGTGAAACATATCTTGTACTATTTTCTTATGTTCATATTATAATGTGTTTGAAAAGTTAATGTATGAGCATAACTGAAATATTCATCATTTTTCATACACTGTGGCCTAAGATGTAAAATTTGTAATTAATGTTTGTTAATTTCTTTGCATTTTAATATTCTTTTATAATTACGAGCATTTTAATAAATTCATTTTACCAATAACTGCAGTCCACTCTGTGTCTTACTCTTTAAGGAAAAAGAATTATATATCTGCTATTTACTAGTGACCAGGTATGTATCACTTAGATGGCTAATGTTAGCTTTTGAGTAGACTGTATCTAAAATTGTATTTTTTCATAACTACACTTAATTTGAATGTGGGTTTTCTTGGAAAAATTGAGGATGAGCTTTCAGCCAGAACTGCTGTGTATAGATGTTGGGACTGAGCCCTTGGAAGGCACTGAGCATGGAGACCAGCTGAAGACCCACCCACCCATTCACAAGGCCAGCTGCCCAGTGCCTCCCGAGGGCTGGGATGAAGAGATGTTTCTCTAACTGCATGGGGAACATCTTCCGCTTGCCAAGTGAGACTTCAGGAAACAAATATGGGAGAGGCACTGTGTGGATCTACACCACCCTTAGCTGCAGAATGAAGAAATGATAAAGAACATAAAGGATAATCTCATTACAAAAATCAGGCTCCTTTATGCTTAACAAATACTCCAGACTCATTCCATCCTTTGATTTTTCTTGGCCAGTTTAAGACTCAAGAGACATGCAAATTGAAACTGCAAGTCAAACACATTCCATAACTGGGACCACAGGAAGAAGCATCATCTGGTCACTTAAATGACACTCCTGAGGCCAGGTCTAATAATGATCTTCCTCCATTCAAACATTAAACGCCCAGCGAAGGGGCTTTTAGAGGTTTCTTTCTGAAGTAAAATGCCCCCTTCTCTCATTCGGGAAAAATGATGGGTTCTTAAATAATTGATACCTGATACTCACCAGGCACCAGGCCATATGTTTCTTACACATAATCTCACTGCCAGTGTGACTTTATCACAGAGAGCTTCTAAGTGGCTTTTAAAAAAAGAGATTATAAAAGAAGTATGTGATTATATAAGAAATACAGTATGTTGGTAAAAATCCCAAGCTGCAGAAAAGGGCTGTTCAGGGAAACCCCAAGCCCAGCCCACTCTAGAGATAACAATAAATGTGGTCTGTCAAAGGCAGAGTCTGTGTCCAAAAAAGACTTCTGAGATTTAAACTAGATTTTTAAAAAAATTTTTTTTAACTTTTACTAGTACGTATGTGCAGTACCTAATGGCTACATTTGTCATGGGGAGTTGGTACTTGTATGTAACACATCTTTTTACTTTCCCTTCCCCTCCCTGTCTGTCCTCTTTTGGTCTCCTTCCCATTTGCAGAAATCTCCTTGTTTTCTATTATATATTATTTTGCTTTTTAAATTATTTGTACTTTGGATTTCGCATATAAGAATGCCATATTTCAACACTTTGGATTTTAAAAAAGTTATAGTCACTGTATTAAAGTTGCAATCAGAGGATGTAGTTCTTTTGTTATACTTTTAGGTTCAGCCCCGTTCATAAATCTGACAAAATTTGCCTGTCACTTAAGAGACCTTGAATATTTGGTTCTACTTGCAAATTTAATGAAATGTGTCAACATCCACAGTAGCAGCCCATGATATAGTGAAATGTTTTTAAATATCTTGAGAGGACAGTGACAACAGAGTTGCCCACCACTCCCTTCACAACCCAAAGGACAGGTGTATCACTGCATTTTAGGCGAGTAATCGTGGGAGAGCCTTGAAGATGAGCAGGAGACAACCTTGTGAGATTCAGGGTTCTGGAACAACAGCATAGTAAGAAGCTAAACACCTTGGCATTTGTCATCCTGGCCCCAATGCCAGGAGAGGGCAAATCTCCCCTTCGTAGGGGTAGTGGTGAAAGAGTCCCAGCAAACTAGATGCTGGCGATCTTCACTACTAGAAGGGTTTACAGTCTTCCTAGGCTTACTGGCACTCGAGTAAGTAGCCTGAAATCTGCACAGCAGCCTAGCTCGAAGCATCTCCCAGTGACTCCCTAGGGTGCTGTAGTAAGGAGCCATCTTGAACAGGAAACCATTGTCTGAATTTGGGCTGCTCCTGAGCTTGGAAGGCCCTGCATGTTCCTTTCTCAGAGCCCACAGACGTTGTGCTGCATTGGCTCGGGGCCTAGCTGCCTCACAAGCTCAACTTGGGCCAGCAAGTCTGACCCTATCCCACTTGGTGACCTGCAGTACAGGGGAGAAGGATTGTGACAGAAGGGAACAGAAAGCATCACACTTAAGAATCAGAAGATCAGGAGCTTGCCCTTTTAGACCGGGGCATGGCCAGCATGTGTGGACCCCTGTGGGTGCTAGGACTGAAGGTGGCACTCAGTTCCTACCACACCTCCCTCTTGTGCCATGCTCAGGTGCCCATTGTTCAGGGGGTGTTGGGAACACTTTAGTTCCTGCTGCTGCCCTGCCCACAGGGATGTGCCGAGGAGCCTTTAAACAACCCTGTGGCTCTAGCTGTTGTCCAGCCCCTGGGCATTCACAAGAGGAAGACCAAGTGTGACACTGCCTGGCTCTGGCAAGCATCCTGTCCCTGGCTGGGCCCTTTCACCAACACCATAGACAGGAGCACCACGCTTCCTACTGCCATCCCAGTGTGGTTCCTGCCTTGTCTGACTGTGCACTGAGGTCAGGACTGCGCGTGAGCCACTGGGGACACTGCCATTCCTGTGAGCACCACAGGGGGTAGTTACTGCAGTTCCTGCCCCCGCTGACTGACTCAGAGGGCAAGTGCTCCTGGCCCTTCACCACTGCTAATGCTGTCAGTGCCAGAGACCCTTGCTAGGAGCAGAGCTGGCATCAGCGGTGCAGAGGGAAGCCCTGTTGCCCAGTAGGGGCCACCACTCCCATTGTAGGCATAGCCAACCTCCTGTACACCTCACCCATCACTATCTAGCAACACCTGCCTGAACTCCTAGACTGTCCCCACTCTTGCGTGGCTCACAGATAGTTGTTCTCTCCAACCACAGCCAAAAGTCAGGAATCACAGCTAAAAAATTTGCAGGGAGACTACAACTGTGCCTGGCTAGAATCAAAGCCAATATTGCCTAACAAACCATCACTCCAATACATATCTTCAGGAGAAAGCCACTTACTAAGAAGGCTACCACATAAAAGTAGTAGAGATATCAACCTACTAGATGGGCAAATCTCACTGTAGGAACGTAAGACAAGAAAAAAAGAACTACGATGCCTTCTAAAGAATGTAATAACTCTTTAGCAACAGACTCCAAAGAAATCAAAATGGATGAAATGCCTGATAAAGAATTCAAATGATTATGAAAAAAGCTCAATGAGATCCAAGAGAATACAGATAAATGGTTTAATAAAATTAGGAAGGCTGTAAATCAAAAATTCAGCAAAAAGATGGAGATTCTGGAAAAGAAACAAATAGAGATCTTGGAAATGAAGAGCTCAGTAAGTAAAAAAAAAAAGTGCAACTAAAGCCTCAAAAACAGATTGAATCAAGTGGAAGAAAGAATAGCAGAACTTGAAGACAGGTCTTTGAAATATCAAACTCATACAGAGAGGAGAGAAGGAGGAGGGAGGGAGGGAGGTAGCCAGGCAGGCAGGCAGGCAGGTGAAAAGGAAAAAGGAAAGGAGGAGAGAAAAATAAGAGTGTATTCTTTGGGACAACACTGAAGAAATAGCCACATTCTGGAGATACTCAATGGCAAGGAGACTAAAGATAGTGACACAAATAAATCTATTCAATGTAATAACAGCAGAAAACTTCTCTAATCTTGGGAAAGAGGTAGCCATCATGTAGAATAGGCTTGCAGAACTCCAAAATAGGCAGGACCTATAAAGATCTTCACCACGGCATTAAATATAGGCAAACTCAAAAATACAAGACAAAGATACATGAGAGAGAGCAGAGCCACTCAATACCCACCTGTTCCTCCACAAGGAGCCAAAGCAACAGGTGTGCAATTGCATATTAGGATGAATGACTACAGGACAGCAGCAGAGAAACTAAAACCTTAAAAATCCAAAAGCCTGGGACAGCAGCATAGCAAGAGAAATAAAATATTCCATCAGCTGCCACCCTGAAAAAGAGAGTCCCAGTAAACTACCAGCTCATATTCTGACAGTTGGACAGTTTCAGGCTTACAGCCTAAATAAAAAACCCAAAGTCTGCATAATAATCTGGATTTGGAAAAGGAATTCACTTACTGTCTCAGCAAATACCTAGGATGCTATAGCCTAGAGCATCTTTTTAAAAAAATTAATTTTATTGGTACAGTTTAAATATACATAACAATCACATTCATCAAAGGGAGTTTGTACCTGTATGAGATACAGCTTGATTCCTCTTTTTCTCCCATTCCCCTTCCCTCCCTTTAACCTCCCCTCCCCTCTTATTTACAAAAGCTTTGTTTCCATTTTTTCCTTCTTTTATCGATTTTTTTCTTTTCCCTTCCTTTTCTCCCCTGCCCCTTCAGTGTCCCCTTCCTTTTGAACAGTTTCATCCCAGTTCATATTATCTATTATACATTCTAGTCCTTATTTATCCTGTTTCTCACACTAGACAATACAATATTTACACATGTGTCTGATGTATTTCACTTAAGAGTAACCCTCAAGTTACATCCATTTAGCTATAAATGTCTCAAGTTTATCTTTCTGTATGGCTGAGTAGTGCTCCATTGCATTAAAAAACCACATTTTTTCTTAATTCATTCATCGGTTGATGGGCATTTAGGTTGTTTCCAAGAATTAGCTATTACAAACTGTGTCACTATAAACATGGGTGTGAATATATCATTATGGTATGATGCTTTTAATTCTTTTGGGAGGATACCCAGAAGAGGGATAACTGGGTCAAATGGGACCTCTAATCCTACTTTTTTGAGGAATCTCCACAATGATTTCCATAATGATTGCACTAGTCTGCATTTCCACCAACAGTGCAGAAGGGTTCCTTTTTTCCCACAGCCTCACCAACATTTGTTGTTGGTTGATTTCTTGATAACAGCCATTCTTTCTGGAGTGAGATGGAATCTGAGTATCATTTTAATTTGCTCCTCTTGGATGACCAGTGATGTTGGACATTTTTCTCACATATTTGTTTGCCATCTCTACTTCTTTATCTTAGA